GTGACGACATTGCTGATAATGATCTCTAAAGACTCTCTGACAATAAGTTATACAACAGTTATCTATATCCGTTGCGTCTAATAAATATATATAATAGAAAATCTGAGCAATGGAGTGTATTTGGCTTATATTTGCTACTGGAATTAGCCAACTTCTTGAGGAACAATCTGATGGTTAAAAAAGTCGAAAAGTGTTTGGACCACTATTGTTGTTTCGTAGCTACAACTAATATAATACAAGAACAAGAAAAGAATATATGCTATACTGGTCTAAAATCGACAGTTCCAAAAATGTATCAACTTCTTGAGGAGAAAAGGCCGTGTGCAAAATTTAAGATATATATTTCAAAAACTAAGTGACTAGTTCCCGTATATACAGTCAGACAGACGGACATGGCTGAATCGACTCAGCTCGTCATATATACATTAATTTTATAGGGTGTCCGGCGTTTCATTCTGGGTGTATTATAGTGATACAACATCTTGTTACAGGAATATTTACAATTTATTTGGACGGGTTTTCGGATACTACAAAGTTTAATATAACTTTAATTGAGCTGAATAACATCTTTATCAATAGTACATACTTATTTTTTCAAATAAGCTCAAATCGTATATAGATACTTAGACTTCAAATGAAGGAAACTGCTGTTAGCGAGTGATCCTTCATCCTGTACCTTCCCTGTTATGCAAAAACCACTAAATTCATGAAATATATAATATATGAATGTATATAATTGGTATTAGTTTAATCTTACCTTTACGGAGTGCGCCTTGATATCATCGAATAAATTGAGACTTAGAGTTCCCAGACACTTGAGAACTCCTTATGAATTTTGAGAGAAGCTTCATGTTAGAATTACGGCCGTAGAATCTCCAGCCCATTGCGATCTCTATTAGAAAGTTTTTTATGTGTGTTTTATGATGTTCGTCGGTCATTGGGATCGAACTGTGAACCCTTATACTGTTAGTGCGCATCTCTAGTTACTGTATCATCATTCTTTTGAATATTTTTTTATTTACTGAATAGGAAAACGACAACAATTTGCATTTCATTTAGTAGAATTTTTGCCTCTTCTTAAATTTACTTTCTTAATATGGACAGCCAAAAATTGAAATAGCCATATATACTCTATCTCTATCGTACCTCCATTTATGACCACTTTAACTCATATATTCACATCAAAATGCATATATGTTATTATAAATCAATTTCAAGTGAACCAATCCCCAATACTCTGTGCAAAAAGTTGCGCTCTTGTAGAAAAAAAAATTGTAATCAAAGTCACTCTATTATTAGAAATGCTGTGCACAAATGATATTTATCCATCTACTAATTACACTTTCTATTGCGATGATTGAGGAGAGAAATGGTGTGAATACAGTATATACTTGTATGTACACTATATTATAATATATATGCGGTCATTAGTTGGAATACCTTTCATTTCAGTTCTATTTTTATGAGCCTACGTACATGCATAACATATAATCGTCGTTTGTTATTTTTAGATACGAATGCCATTAGTTTGACATTATATATATTTACATAAATATTTTGTGGAACTGACATTTAAAATGTCAGAAAACATCACTACAAATATTATGCAAAACTATTTTACAATTTTATATTCATTACTACTGTAAAAAATAGCAAATATTGCACTGCTCTGGAGATTGAACTAATTTTTTCTTACATTTTTCACAGCATGCTTTTAGGTGCATTTCCTGTCAGCGCCAAATCCGGCGCGATTTCCACAAACAACAACAAAAATGGCAAGTGCAGATTTCTTCTGTTGTGTGGTGGATATATTTTATTTTTAGTCCTGGGAGCGGCGATGTTTTCAGCGATAGAAGCCCCAAAGATCGACACCATTTCGAAACGCGTGCAAAGTTTACGAAATCAGTTTCTACAAAATAATGCCTGCTTAAATGGTAAGTAAGACTTTTATTATTATTTGCAAATTCCGGGGTTAAGTTCTTGCATTTAATAATTTTGCTAAACAGGACGGCTCACAAATCGTGCTACAAAAACAAACCGTAATAACTTTTTTTTTATGAGTAATCGACTTGCTTTTTTTCATTTGGCAGGTTATTATTTAAGTTTTGTAGAAATGAATGCTTGGGATACCGAAAAGAGGGTTTGAATAGTGCAGCGGTACCATGCTTTGCAGTCTGTTATTTCCGTCCAAAGGAAATTCAGACGGGAATTTGGCGGCACTCCCCCGAGTAGATAGATTATTATGAGTAAGCATGTTTGCCGAATCTGGAGGTATTGCAAAATACCGTACCATCGAGATCCGTATGCTCGTGTTCAAGAAACAATCGCAGCTGTTGCATCGTCAATTCAGGCAAATCCAAGAGTTTCGACTCGCAACTTTTCGGCGCAACTTGGAGTTAGCAGACGGTCATTACAACGGATCATTCGTGATGACTTAAGCCTGTTTTCGTACAAAGTTCAAATAACAAGCCGGTTAAACCCTCTTGAATTTCCTATTCGATTGGAATTTCGCCAAAAAATTATTGAAATGGTTGAAGAAGACAATAACTTGATAAATTTCCTGTTTATGTCAGCGGAGGTCCATTTTGTTTTAAACGGAAGTAAACAAGCAAATTTGCCGTATATGGAGTGAATCAAATCCATAAATAATCCACGAGACGGAACCTCACCCAGAACTAGCCACGGTGTGGGGGCGCAGTTTCATCAAGGTGTATTGTCGAGCTGCACTTCTTTGAATAAAACGGTGTAACAGTAACTGTCAATGGGCACCGTTACTTAAAGATGTTGAATAAGTTTTATTACCCAGAATATCATTTTCAATAGCGTACGGTTTCAGCAAGATAGAGCAACTGCACACATAGCCAGACCGGTTATTGCGGATCTCCAAAGAGAATTTGAAACCAAATTAAGATCAAAAAACTCTACTTTCCGCTGGCTCATAAAGTTACCTGATCTGACTGCACCAGACTTTTCTTTTATGGGGTTAAGACAAGCAAGAGGTGTAAAAAGCAAAACTCAGAAATCTGACTGAATTGAAGCTGTCCATAAAATCGATAATTAAGACATTCCAGAATTCAACCATTCAGACCGCTATGAATAATGAGTGGCTGAGCATGGAGGTCATTTACGGTCCATAATTTTTAAAAATAAAATAAAATTTGCTATACAAAAAATAAATGTAGTGTATTAAGTAAGACAGTTGCTCGTTTGGAGAGAGGATTCTGTTTCTCCATTATCTATTAAAAGAGGAAGTTCTTTAACATGCTTTTCCAACTGTACTACAGCTACTGACTTAGTCTACACTTTCGATTGCTTTTGAATAGACCAAAAATAATCTTGTGGATTCCAGACGATGAAACAACTTCACATCTACCATCATAAAGAAAAACAGTCGTTCTTTAAAAATTGGCCTTATGAAACTGTCAAGGATTCACTTGTCTTTGAAGTAGTTTTAAGACATTGAGTTAATATAGAAAACGTGCTGTTTTCTAATTTATAACAAAATTTGGACCCATATTTAAACCTTTCGAAACTCAACACACCTTTAATAAAGCTCGTTTCTTTCTTCAAATAATTCGAAAACAAGAAAACACGTTAACTTCGGTTGCACCAAAGCTATAATACCCTTCACAAATACAAAAGGTTCCTTACAAAAACTTGATTCTGATCATTCAGTTTGTATGGCAGCTATTTGATATAGTGATCTGATCTGAACAATTTCTTCGGAAATTATATTGCTGCCTTAGGAAATAACTCATGGCAAATTTCGTGAAGATATTTCGTCAAGTAAAAAAGTTTCGTATACAAGCACTAGATTCCGATTGTTCAGTTTGTATGGCAGCTATGTGTTATAGTGGTCCGATAGCGGACAGGTGTAAAATTTCAGATCGGGACTAGTTTGTATATATACAGACAGACGGACATGATCAGCTCACCTCATCATACTGATCATTTATGTATATATTTTATAGGATCTCCGACATTTCCTTCTGGGTGTTACAAACTACGTAGCAAACTTAAAGGGTAAAAAAAAAATATGCGCTCTCTAGTATAATACATTCTTTTGACAATACCTTTGTAGCTGGACTCAATTGTTGAATTGTTGAAAACATTGTGTTATTTTTGAAAATTGAACGATATATCTATATTGACAAATACTAAGCATAACTCAATCAAAGAGAAGGAGAGACTGAATATATTGATATTTCATGAAATTGTGGGTTTCTGAGATAAATTTGGTGTTATGTCTTGGTATATTACTCATACGCCCCCTCAAACCGTTATGATTAAGGACTTTTGTCCATACCAATGACAGTCGAGTCTACGTAATCAGAATCAGAAGGATTCAGATTTTTATTCGGCCGAGGCCTGTTAGTTTGGCAAACATTCCTCAAAAAAAAGCTTTTGTCTAACATTATTTCTTAAATGTATTCGCTTGAAGAGCAAATTTTTGACAAACATTTTTTGATGTATTTAAGCAGAGAAAAATTTTGAAAATTGTATGTACTAAAAAATTTATATTAAGTTCACCACGAAGTTTGTAATACCTAGAAAATAACTTGGAGAACCTATACAGTATACACATATACATAAATAGTTAGCGTGAAGAGTTGAGTCGATTTAGTAATTTTTGTCTGAGATGATAGAGTTGAAAACTTTATACCATTTGTTCAATGTTTTTCTATTCCACCTGAAATTGGTTCTTCCCTAATTGCTTCTTTTTTCACTATCTTACTTATAAACAAGAAATGATTATGAATTTAAATTTGTATCATCTAAAGAAGAGTAACTTGATATGATTCAAACGACGAGAATCGAGGCATCTTGAATACCTTGACATATAGAATATGCTATATACTCCTTCTGAGAATATAAATAAAGCGACAAAGTGCTACGCGCAGCAAAATTTTTTATTTATATACACATGTATGTATGTACATATGTATGAATGTATTTGCAATTAAAGCAATCAGCGCACATTTCAAATCTCAGATTTAAGAATTCAGTTGATGAGCGAACGACTACTGAGCGTGATTAACAAGCAGATCGCAAGTTAAGACTTACAATTTAAAAATATTAAATTCGAAAAAAGTGCTAAACGCAACGCAAGCACACATATATTATATATAGGGCTTCTGGCGTTTTCCAACAATGCAAATCATTTTGTGTGAATCAAATTTTTGAGTGAAGTGACATTGATGTGAATATGCGCAACGTTAAAATATAAATCGCACCCGCCGCTCAAGTCAAGATGTGTATCTAACCAAACGTACTTACTTATATGAACGAGCATACTTCACAACGCTTCTGCAAATACGCTTATGAGTGGAGGTAGAGACGGAAAAAAAGCACGTCAATAAAGTGTTAAATCGTTTAAGTATTGTTTATATTGGCGCGACACGTGCTTTCACTGATTTACCTAGTGTATCCAACCGCGCCCCGCAGCGCATGAATGTGTGATGTTGCCCACTACAGCGTTTCGCCGCCGCAATGGCTACGAGGATCTAGACAAGTGCAATCAATCATTAGAGCAATATCTACCGAACGTCCTTGCGGGCGCTGAGGGTCAAACATTATTGGCAGCGACGCCGTTTGGTCAACAAAAGCAGCAAACTAATCGTATTTTCTCAATCTCAGACACGGCATTAAATTTAACGCCACCGAAAAATTCCAACGCAGTGGCAGCACATTTAAGCAGTATGTCTCAACAGCAATCAACGTCGCACGCTTCGCACAATCAATCTACGCTCAGTCTCAATAATGCCATTAGCCTTAGCTCCATCGTGTTGTTGCCCGCAAATGTTCCCAGACCCACACGTACGCAAAGTTATGCCAACCTGAACCACGGGTCCTATGCCACTGTGTATGGCAGTGGTGCCGCCAAGAAGTGCGGAAACTTCTACAAGTATATGCGCAAGGAAAATTTGTGTTTACTTTGCTTCGCACTCTTTTATTGTGTGTACTTAGCAATCGGTAGTGTTTGCTTTCAAATTGCCGAAACGCCGGTGGAGGAGTCATTACGTAGCACTGTGCGTCAACAACGCACCGAATTCTTGCTGAAGTATCCACAAATATCGGGTAAATTTTATTTATGTGAAAGTATTTGTCTTTCGCATATTCCTATTTGGGGAAGATGACACTTATGCATTTAGATGTATGTACAAGTTTATGAGGTGAACTTGACACTGCTTGGTTGCAAGAATTTTCCAAGTGTACATACCCTGTTGGGAATGTTTGATTTAACACCAGAATAACATATCGAAAAGCAAGGGTGCATATATTTGATTGCTTGTAACAATAATAATTAATCTCATGGGGTTATTTCACCACCAGTTTACGTCCTACGCCATAATATTGCCCAGAAATCTTTTGATGGTCGAATTTTCAGTTATTTTGAATGTGTGCGAGTGGAACTAATACCCAAAGCCTTTATCTCGCCAACTATCTTCATTGATATTTTTTAGCACAACAACCGTTCTTCAAAGAATCCCAAAAATCCCACCTGTAATTCAAGTCCTTAGCCGAGATGAAATAATCGATTTCATGATGTTCGGTTAATTCGCCTTTGAGTTATCACCGCAGAAAATTCCAAAACTGCTGTTTCGAGATAAACTGATAGAGCTGACTGAACTGAGCGGCAAACCTTTAAATGGCTTTAACTCAAAAGCTATTTGAAATATCGATTTAAAATTTTAATTTGTTATTTTTAAAAACATAAACTATTGAAATATGATCGATTTCATATTTCAAGTCCTTAGCCGAGTTGTATTTTGAGCTTTTACCACCGGGTACCATCGATATATGTATAATATATACATATATGAGTATGCATAAATATTTATTCGATTGGGAGTCAACGTCTTTGGCAATTTATCACAACTTGTATTACATATTCGAATGGAATGTGGGGTAAATAGTTTTATTTAACTTAGGTGCAGTGCATACTAATCTTTTTTGTCCCATGAGCACAGCAGCAAATAAGCTAAACCAAAGTCGAGCGTTACGATTATTTTTGTTATTTTAATACCTTCTTCCTTACAACTATATACTATATTACCATCAGTACTTCGGAATATACTTTTATGGAATATTATTTGACACCTCAATTGAACGTTGTGCTAGTGATTCATAGGATATTATCTTTCTAGTAATACTTGGCATCTTGGCAAACTTTCAGCATAAAACCGGGTCCAATTAATTTAAATGATTTTCTTTTAGGCTTAGTAATCGCAGCACCTTTCAAATTACCTAATATTTACATGTATACCATAAACTAAGCTGAACAAGCTTAGTTCGGATATTAATATCCCCATAAATACTTCACCAGAACCGAACTTACCATTGTAGCCAAGAAAATGAAATTATTTTTAATTATACTCTGAACAGGGTATATTAAGTTTGCCACGAAGTATGTAACACCCAGAAGAAATCGTCGGAGGCCTTAAAAAATATATACATAAATGATCAGCATGATGAGCTGAGTTGATTTAGCCATATTGGTCTGCCTGTATATACACAACCTGCCCTTTTATCAATAAGAAGCTGCTCATTTGTCGGAACGGCCGATATCGGACCACTATATCATATAACTGCCATACAAACTGAACCATCGGAATCAAATACTTGTATGGAAAACTTTTTTTTTTTTACGTAATATTTTAACGAAATTTTTCATGAGTTATTTTGTAAGGCAACAATGTAATTTCCAAAAAAAATTTTAGATCGGATCATGTAGTATATAGCTGCCATACAAACAACACGATCGGAATCAACTGCTTGTATGGTAAACTGTTTCATTTGAGAAGGTATCTTCTTTCTTGCTTGCATTGAAAACTTGTTTATTTAACAAGCTATCTTCATGAAATTAGGCACGAATTATTTAAGGCAACAATCTATTCTCCGCAGAAATAGTTCAGATCAAATCACTATATTATGTAGCAGCCATAAGGGTATTATAGCTTCGGTGCAACCGAAGTTAACGTTTGTTTCTTGTTTTAATTTAATTCCAATTCATTTTGACTTTATTTATCCTCTTCAAATAATAAAGAGTTAAGCTTGTGCAGAACTGAGATACTCTTGCGAACATTCTTTTCGACAAGAACTAGTAAATATCCACTTTTGGAAATTCGGTTATCATAGCATTGATAATATTTCTGCGAAATTACATAGAAATTCAGTTTAAGAAACCTACTATGGAATGGGGTACTAAAACTATATGTTCTCTATGTACTGTGGGTTTCATAGTGGAAAGGTTACAGTTACAAGTGATAACAGCTTTAAGATTCGTTAATATGTTAATAACATTTTTCTGACCAGGCCATTTGTAAAATCAGTATTATTATGATACTCACATCTGTTCTCTACTATTAGTAAGCTTTACCTTGATGTTGGTCAATTTATATAGTCTCTTAGCAATCTATTTAGTTTAATCAAAAGGAGGAGATATGAAATAGTTTAAGTTTTGTTCACAACATTATTGGTAGGAACATGAGAGTAAAAGGGGCAAAGTGCATCTAAATATATAATACAACAGCGTAGAGGAAACGATACTGATAACAGAACTCTATTCTTTTTTAACTCTAGCTAATATTTTTAAGATGGAAAAAATTGGAATCGTTGGGACATTCAAACTATATGAATGTAATAATGAAAGACCCAATTCGACAGCAATATAAGTAGATCCCCTTTAAAGTGGAAAATAAGATCAAAATGGTTAAAATCTAAAAAACATGCTGCTTTTGTATCTGAAAATGAGTTACTGAATAATAATATGATAAAAGAAAAAGATATGTATGCATACAATAGCGAAAACAGGGAATACAAGTATATTTTAGGTGCCATGAATAAACTCGTCAATAAATCTATAACTGGGGATCCAATATAGTAGAGTTTCGTTAGAAAAAACTTTTGCGCTACAACCCACCATTCAATCATAAAACTCTTTTGAAAAAAAAAAACTTCCAGAAGAATTGTCAATATAGAGGAATGTAATGTTTTCTCGATTAGCTTATACAAAGACATGATGTACCATTAATCATCCTGTATTAAATGCCTTGAAAATATTATTTCGAATTAAAATTTATATATTGCATTAACACAAATAATATTGATTAAATTATTTCATATTTATTGCTTGTCCATAGATGAAGACCTCGAAGAGTTTCTCAAAGCCGTGATAACAGCCAACGATCGAGGCATATCACCGTTACGCAATGCAACAAATGAAATGAACTGGAGCTTTGGTCAGGCATTCTTCTTCTCAAGCACCGTGATAACAACAATCGGTAAGCGGTAACACACTTGTCTACACACACCCCTTTGTACTTGTATAATTTATTTATGTGTCTACATAATGCACTTATTGTATGTGTGTTATATGTATGTATATAGTATAATGTACTTGTTGTTATATTCAAAATATTTTACCTGTGCACAGGATATGGCCATGTAACGCCACTTAGCCAAACGGGGAAAATATTTTGCATAATTTATGCGGCCATTGGTATACCACTCACGTTGGTGCTATTGAGTGCGATGGTGGAGCGGCTATTGGTGCCGGCCAGCTGGTTGTTGGGCACTTTGAATTCGAAATTGGGTCATCTCTATCAGCCTTTCAATATACGATTATTGCATCTAAGCATTGTGGGTAAGTACGGCTGGCGGTGGAGTGTAATATTTTAATTTGCTGCGGGGACCTGTAATGAAGTGTCGATTCGTTTATTGCAGCTACGCTTGTTATCATCTTATTCTTTGCTATACCAACGGCCGTTTTTGCTTTTATTGAACCCGCCTGGGGTGCTTTGGATTCCTTCTATTATTGTTTCATCTCTTTGACAACTATTGGCTTGGGTGATTATATACCTGGCGAGGGTGTGACCATTGGCAATCGTTCCATGTACAAAATATTCATAAGCGGTTATTTGATTTGTGGTGCGTTAACAGTTATATTATATAAATAAAAATTTATATGTGCACATATATTTATTACAAAATTTTACACACTCCATAGGTCTCATTGCAATGTTGTTTGTGCTGACGATCTTCTATGATATACCGCAACTCAATCTGGGTCAACTCTTCACGGAGAGCACAAATGGTGAAACGGAAAAGCTGCGCTTATCCGGCAACAACACAACCTGCTATTCGGGCCCATCCGGTCTGTATATGCCACAGCGTGATGAGGATACTAGGCGTGCCGTAGTGCGCATACGTCCACACGGCGACGACTCACCCAGTCCCGATGAAGCACCATCTTCGCTCAATAGCGACATAAGAGTGCCATAAGCAGAGACTAGGAGCGGCATTCGCCGGATGGGATGAAGGTGGAGATGGCGTTGTTGGAGAAACTACTGCGTACATGGGTGTATATCGTTCGCAAAACACTTTTCATATCTTCGAAAAAACATAAAATAATCCAAAACCGTACTCGTATCATGCACTCAAGTAACATCTCTACAAAAATACATACATATGTATGCAGTTTTAAGGGAAATAATCAAGTATTTAGAACATACCTGTTACAAAGCATGTGCTAATGTGCCGGTTACAAATATTTCATCAATGGTTTAATTAATTTTTTTTTTTTATTTTAATGAAATGAAGCATAAACAAAGACAAATCTTTCAAATGTACAAAACGAACAGCATACAATACAAAAATACCTATTTAAACTGCTCTACTCAAAAACTATACTATCTTAAGCACTAAGTAAAAAAAAAACACAGGACAATTATCAACTATCATGAAACCTTGTAGAAATACTGCAGAACTATCATAAAAAAACAAAGTGTTGTATGTTGCATTGCTACGGGGTAATGTAGGGTAGAATTAGTTGCAGGTCTACGTATTTCTAACAGCAGCTTGTAATTGTGAATACTTATAAACATAAATTAATTTAACAAATGTACTTGTATATGAACTCTACCACATTGTGAGAACATGATTAAATGCAGGTACAGTGGGTGACGAAAGTCTGCAAGCAACACATTTTTTATATTTTTTTAGTTATTAATTTTAGTTTTCAAATGTATTACATTTAATTTGAGTCGATTTTCTGCTAATTTAGTAATCTAAAACTGACAAATACGTATTTTTGATAGCTAACATAGAAAAAAATATGGCAATATGACCAAGTAGAAATGCTCATATTAGAGTAATTCAAAAGAACAAATGATGAAAGCTTAGTTATCAGAAACCTACGCACGTTAATATAAGGTCTAGTAAACATTTTGCTTAAAATTAAATGATTTATTTAGCATTGTTAGAATGTCCTAAATAATAAACACCGTTTTGCTCGATAACTTGCTACCATTTTTAAGGAAATTTCATAATGCCACTCTTATAGCAACCCTCATTCTTATTGGAAACAAGAAAAAACGTTAACTTCGGTTGCGCCGAAGCTTTAATACCCTTCACAAATAAAAGGCCCCTTACAAGAACTTGATTCCGAACGTTCAATTTGTATGGCAGCTATATGATACAGTGATCTGATCTGACCAATTTCTGCGGAGAATAAGTTGTTGCCTTAAGCAATAACTCGTGCCTAATTTCGTGAAGATACCTCGTCAAATAAAAAAATGTTCCATGCAAGCACTTTACTCCGATCGTTCAGTTAATATGGCAGCTATATGCTATAGTCATCCGATCCATACAATTTCTTCGGAGATTAGATTAATGCTTTAAATAATAATACATGCCAAATTTCGTGAAGATACCTCGTCAAATGAAAGAGTTTCCCATACAAACACTTGATTCCGATTGTTCAGTTTGTATGGCAGCTATATGCTATAGTGGTCCGATATCGGCCGTTCCGACAAATGAGCAGCTTCTTGGGGAGAAAAAGAAGTGTTTAAAATTTCAGATCGATATCTCAAAAACTGAGGGACTAGTTCGCGTATATACAGACGGACAGACGGACGGACGGACAGACAGACAGACAGACGGACATGGCTAAATCAACTCAGCTCGTCACAGTGGTCATTTATATATATACTTTATATAGTCTCCGACGTTTCCTTCTGGGTGTTACAAACTTCGTGGCAAAATTAATATACCCTGTTCAGGGTATAAAAAGTGGGCAATCGAAACAGTGCTTACATGTTGGTCGTTTTCAATTATTTTATGAATATTTTCAACAATTGACCTTCCAGAACGTGTCTTTGACCGCCTTCACAAATACAAAAGAACTTACATTGATCGATCGGTTTGTATGACAGCTATATGCAATAGTGACTCGATCTGAAAATTTTTTTTCGGAGGGTGTACCATTGCCTGAGGCAACAATCCATACCTAATTTCTTGAAGATCTCTTCAAATTAAAAAGTTTTCCATACAAGCACTCGATTGCGATCGTTCAATTTGTATGACAGCTACAAGTATATGCTATAGTTGTCAGATATCGGCCATTCCAACAAACGACTAGTTTCTTGATGAGAAAAGTACGGATGCAAAATTTCAAATCGATATATCAAAAACTGAGGTACTAGTTCGCGTATATACAGACAGACGTCGACTTAGCTCGTCATAGGGTTTTTATAGGGTAACCGACGTTTTCTTTTGGGTGTTACACACCCAAAATCGTATATTTTTAACGTCTTATAGCCGAACCACGCGTGATACAGATATATTGGACTTTTTTTTTAATATGGTAAACCTTAACCCTTTTAAGGATTATTGTTTGGAAGTGAGTTAAAGCTAAAGTTCGAAGAAAAACTAAAAAAAGAAAAGCTAAATGTTCTAATAACTCTGGCTTTTGTCACCCACTCCATATACAAGTATACTTATATTAATGACGATATAAATTTTAAGTTACAAAGGACATAACTAAAAAGGTGTTTTTCGCGTGTTTTTATTTATTTAGCTTCAAAATACATCGGCTTTTCAAATAACTAAATGATATTATATTAAAAACATTTAATTTACAATATATTATTTTTTTCGCTTTATCACCTAAAAAAACTTTTACCCAAAAAGCGTAAAACTTTCAATTAATTTTACTCTTTGAATATCAATGTTCTAAACGTAGCGAAATTGTTCAAATGTAGGGAATAAGATATAGACTGATTATGGACGAATGTTATAAGTAGTGAATAGATTGCTTGATCAAATGAAAGGAATAATGATTTTAGTATTAATATTAATTTTTTGTTTTTACAAAAAATATAGTTCAACAAAGATACTAATTTTGAAATTGGAAAATCAATACAAATCTACAGAATTTACGAAAATTAGAAATAAAATTTTTCAAAAATTTTTTGCAAGCTTTCTTTCGACCAAAGAATGTTATTAAAAACATTTTCAAGTTTGAAGTACAGCAAGTAGTTTGATTTTATTTAATTATGAGCGCAATTTTAGCAGGGAATTTTATATTAACATTTTAATTTTTATTATATAGTATATTTTTATGAAATTTTGTTTAAGCTTTAATAATTTTTTAATTAATCTTATAGGTAACTAAAGTTGTGTATGTATGATATGTTGTAATTGTATTATATATTATATTTAATGAATAGCGTGCATATAACTCTCCATTATCACGCATACATGAATATTTGATTACCTATATAACACAATAAATAAGTCAAGTAAAAAGAATTACTAAAAAATGAAAAACATTAAAACTGAAAAAGAACACATTGTTTAGTCACATACCCATATACATATGCATATAGTTACCGACATAAAACAGAAATTGTTTATATTTATGTAAGGATTATTTATAGAGGATAATATATAATATGTATATTAGAATGAAAGACCCGCAGATAATGGACAATGCTTTATTCGAGACATATTTAAGGAATATTCTATGACGACAACAACAATAAACACAATAATATCAATTTAATAAATATTCTTATGTAGTTTACTTTATAAGAAGAAATAAATAAAGTCAAATGTAATAATAAAAGTATATAATGATCATAAATGATATTAAAAGAACACTTCGGGCCTTCCCATTAAACAAAATGATAGTTAATTGTATTTGTTCCGTTCCATAAAATGTTAAAACGTACCATAAATGAAATATACAATGCGGATACACACAAAGCTATGTAAAAAGACCAAATGAAATGATGGTCGATTATAACTCAAACATAAATAATAAATATAGTAATGTGCAAGAATAAAATAAAATTTGTAAAATAAGAATACAATTGAATGATCTTCTAATGCAAAAGTTTGTTATATTCAACGATTATTGGAAGGGTCCAAGTATGTATTTCATAAACATATGTATGTTTGCTGAGGTTTTATGTACCTACAATATAAATTGTATTATACAAGTCATTTACAAGTAAGAGTAAGCACATTTTACTAACCATATACTTTTTCGCAGTATAAAATTAAAATTTATTCAGCTATATAAAGTTATACAAGATTTCATTTATTTACGTACATACGTATAATGTCTGAGCACGATCATCTATATATTATATATACATACATAAGTTCACAGAAAAAAAATAAAGAAATCACTATTAACAGCAGTAGCCAGTTGTAGTTTTTTGGTTATCATTTTTGGTATCATTGGTTATAATTTGTACGTACAGAAAATATATGTTTAATTATTATATAAACATATGTTACAAAAATAAATATAACTACAAATTTTGTAAATTGCTGCAATATTTGCTAAAAGTGGTAAAAATTCACACATACGAGTATATACCTAACCTATTGTAAGTAAGTACATTAAAGCGCATCTATAACATTTGAAAAGTATTGCAACAGATAAAATTGTTATAAAAGCATAACTTGTCTAAATTATGTAATCATATGAACAAATAAATTTATCATGTGTAGCGTGAATGACTAATTGATTAAAATAGAATTTGTTCAGGTAAGTATGCACCTTACTTATTCTGGCTTTTTTTTATAGAATGCATTGTCCAACACTGTTCGGCTTGCAATTTTTGACAATTCTGCATTGTCATCTATTTACAGTTATTTTCTTAAATTTTTTAACCTCATCAAATTTTTGCAACATCAATTGAAGAACGTTTTTAATTTAATTTATGTAACAAAAATAAAATTATGGAAGTGTTTTTAAATGAAGAGCTCTCATCTGAGGCGAAAAAGGATATGCGCCATGCATATCTACGCGAGTGCGGTATAACCGACAAGCTCAATGACATTTTAAATAAATTATTGCAAGCTAGCGTAAAGCCAGATAATCCGTTAGATTTCATACGCGAGGAATTAGGGGATAAACCCATACCGACGGAAACTTTTGAAAACATGGAGCACGAATTAGATGATGCGCATCGTGAAATTCGTCGTTTACGCGGCATATTAAAAGAACTTGGCGTTAATAATCTGGACGAACAATTTCATGACGCAGAAGCGGGGCCAGATGAGTTTGAAAATGTGGCCGGTGAATTTAGTAATTCATTGACTATTGGGGAGATGAATGATGAATACACAGGTGGACAACATACTTAATAAATTAACTAAGTTAAAAGTAAATTTAAAAACAATTAATTATTTTAATAATACTGAATAAATTAATGTACAAAAGTCGGTGCAGTACTCGTAAGTGATGGCGTCCAAAAGCAAATAAAGAAATGATTTACCAAATTACAACTTTAAAAATTGAGGTAATTTCATTTGGTATATAATATAAGAGGTTTTCCTTACAATTTATGTATTTATATAAAAAGTATCATATATTTTGTGTTTTTCTTTTTCCCAAATCTGGTTATTAAATCTGCATTCAATTTGCGAAAATTTGATATTAAATTAAGTAGAGGATAAAAGTTCGGTTATTCCATATAATAGATTCAAGTCTTGCATTTGATTTCTGATATGAAAATCAAGAAGAACTAAGGGTATAAATTAAACCAAGCCATTTTCGCTTAAACCCTAAATGCGACATTTCATTTCCTTATCCCCTGATATAGTGGTACTAACAATCCAACACTTGGTACCGTTTCCAAGAAAACCTAGTCTAGATCCTCAAAGGGACTGCTACTAAAGAAGCATATTGTAGAAGTATTTTGAAACTTTTTTTTGTGCTTCAAAACGTACCTGACTTCCGAAATCTCAGTGGTACGAAAATTTTCACGCGTCAATGCGTTGCACGTTTTTCACCCAAAATTCCTTAGACATTGGTAAAATTATGTTATCGGTAAAAATTCCTCAAATAATTTTGAAGAATACTACCCAGTTGACAGTATTTGGCGGGATGAAAATCCGGGTTCTTTCGAGTTACGTTGTTCTGACTCATGGGGAATGATGGGGAACAATCAATTATGAGGTACGTTTTAGATTTCTTTATCTTTGCCCCAGGTACTGCCTGAAAGTGACCTTGTTTCTGTCGCGGAGTTTGTGGACTTTCGGACCTCGGGACGTTGCCTAATGTATATAAAAGTGACCACTAAATAGTCGATGCGAGCGTAAGATTGATTTTAGATGCATTTGTGGAAAATGACATTAAATTATAAATACACGGAAAAGGGCTGTCTGTATTTGGTGATGAGGTAGGTCTGATATTTATTTTCTTTATTTGATTGTATTCTATGCAAACGAATTGGTGTCAAATAATTGGTTTCATTGTGGTAAAATATAAGGAATTCATCATCATAACAAGATATTCAGTAAAAGAGCTAAAAAGCAAGGGTCGTAAGCCGAAAAGTGTTTCTTTGACGTGTTTTAGTAAGAATTAAAATTTTCGCAAACAGATCCTGCCGCAGGAGCTAGATTATTTTTGGATTGCAACTGCCCCTAAACATTTATGTTTTCCACCCAAAACCCCTAGTAAAACAGAGCCCTTTTTATTAATTTTTTTTTTATTGAATTTCAAAATGAATTTTATTCCTTTTTGTTTAGTTACTTATAGAATAAACTTAAATGGTAAATTAAATTGTATGCATATATATTTTTTTTAATAATTTTAATGGTATTATTTTTTTTAAGAATTGTGTATTTTCTTGTTTTTAATTAATTAATTTATTCATAGTTGTGTGTATTTGTTTGCATATTCTTAAAACGAAAAAACACTAAAACCAAAGGGAATAGGATTTTATATTTTTAGTGCGAAATACGTTGCTTTTCCATGTATACATAATTGAACGTATCGCATATTAATTTTTTGTGTTTTTTTTTTTCAGTTTTATTTTAGATGCATGCTCTTATAAAATTGTTGCTTGTTATAGCCTTTTGTATATAATTATTGCGGCTGGTCTGTTTATTTTTTTTTTTTTGAATTTTTTTTATAAGAGAGGCATGTTAGAAGAGACGCATTTGGTGTAGTGTCGTACCGAGGCCAACATCACTGAAATTTATTTCTTCACTGCAAAACTTGTCATCTGTCTACTATCATGCAACATGATGTTGATTTTTACTGATCTTGATTTCTAAGCTTCTCTCAACTGACTTTTTTTTAGCTTCCGTCTGTTGTTTGACTTAGAAGCATCTAAAATGCAATGCTACCTGTGAATTTATGTAATTTTACAGTTAATTTTGGGGTTTTGGACAATTTTACCTTTATATTTTTTTGTATTTCTTGTTCTATTTGCATAATGTGTTTGTAGATTAAACTTCCACATAACTTATGATATTATTTTATTGCATGTATATATATATATATTTGCGGTTGCTAACGGCATTTATATCTACTTTATGTGTGTGTCTACATATTATTAATATGTATTTTTTGTGTTTGTTTTGTTACGAATTGCCCCAAATATGTATATAATAAACTGTTAAATTTTTTAAATATTTTATGTGTATACGTTTGAAACTTTGTATGCTAAAACCTAATTTAATGAAACTTACATGGGCGTGTCTGCACTGCTAATAATTAAAAAGGAAAACTATTTTATTCCTTATGCGTATGTATATGTTTCACTTATGTTTAAATATCTATATTTTGTTTAATATTTTTCCTATTTTTATTTTCTGCCTATTAGCATGAATTTCTTACAAAAGAAATGCATTTTTCAACACGTCAAAAATTCTCGTCTCATACTTTTTTTGTAAATCATTTTGCATTAAAATTAATATTATTTTGTCCTCTTAGCCATTTTTATCATACAAATTTTAGGTGCATTGTTGTATGAACTACATATGTATATATATATATATTTCGAAAACATTACAATCTACAATATAATTTGCTGATATTTGAATGGCTAGTTTTAATATGTAATTTTAATGTATGCTTCATTTCTGTTAGAAAAACTGTTTTTATACAGTTTATTTAATAGCTATACGCTTGCTTTACAAGTCAAGAGTCAATAATAATTTGCACCCGAAACGAAGAAAAATGTAATATACATTTTTCCTATCTCTGATTAACATTTATTTATGTTAAATGTGTGCAATTTTTTCAATGGGAATGAGTTTAACATACACATATAACTATTAATTTCGTCCCTGCATAACTTTAAAGTTCTTTATTTTGATATTAAATCGCCGTTTAAATATTGCCTCAACATACTAACAGTGTTTCCCTTGATTAGCAATGCAACTATGCTCATATTAGTATTCTTTATTTTTATTTTTATATTTGATATAGTATGGTTTTGTTATTTGTTTCAATTTGTTCTTTTAAGCGATGGAAATCAGAAATTATTATATTTCAATACAACGAAATTCAAATCTTTCTGCTGTAACTCATAATAGCTTTAATAAATTTGAAATATAAAAACGCTGCACTTGTTATGCCTTGACTCAAAGTAGATTTTAATACAAAGATATATGAAGCGCTCATATCGTAAATAGCTTTGCTGCTGGCGTAGTTTGTGCGCCTCTTTTTTTCTGGCATTACTTGAAAGCAGCGCTGTAAAAAGTACGTAAAATTAGTATTTATTTACATGTATTTTTTAAGGTCCACTAACATTCGCGAACTATGCGTATTGCAAGTTATAGGGTCAATGGCTCTCTTCTTTCAATCAATCTAACAATACGAAAGGTGTTCATTCAACGCGCAACTCCGCATAAATTGGATAATTTTTTTTACATGCCAATAGCTTATCTAATCTGCTGTGGCTTTAAACATAAAAGTAAAAACTAAAACATATACAACTAATATACAAATAACCATAACATATATACTTCTTACAAAAAAATCATTAATATAAATATAGGTGACGTGGTTAACGGTATAAATTGTCGAAACACTTGTAATTATACAAACAAAAAAAAAAGTTTTTTAATGCCAAGCAAGTCCAGCTTTGATATTAACAAAAACCTGCAATTAGTCTGTAGTTCGCTTTTTTTTGTTTTTGTTTAATTATTTTTTAGTGTCAAAAACGTATTTGCTTACTAAATAGCACATAATTAAGCATTTAATGGAAGAAAAGTTTTAATAAAAATATAAGTAATACACATCAACATCATTTCGTTTTATGCATATATCTATTCTACACTCCCTTCATGTCCTATCTGAAGTGCTAACTGTGTTGTGTTATACCTATCTTTTTTTTACATACATTCTAAAACTAATGTACACTTTGTTCGAACGTTTTGCTGTTTCAATTTATTGCTAGATTTGCTATATGGTCAGATTAACGACGCCACAGATAGCATTGACATCTTGCACCATGCCTTAAATGTCACCATTTCGCATTAAAAAGAAATGTTTTTGTTTATGCTGCTGGTGTGTCTGCTGCTATAGCGTGTATGAGTATGTGTCTGTGTGTGTTTTTCGGAGCTTATTCAAATTGTTACTTCTCTTTGTGGGAATGCGATAACTGCATTATAACACTACTATTCTTAAATGACAATTACTCTCTCCTAACTAATTATAGTTTCTATTTCCGACTTCTGGTCGGCCGATTACTGTTCGAACTACCGCCATTGCCACCGCCGCCACTGTTGCTTGAGGTGGCAGCTATGGTTTGCTCTGATGTTGTTGCGTTGCCCGCAGTTGTTGTGCTACTAACCACATTCGTGATTTCCACAGTGCTGTTGCTGTTGACCTTCTTGGTAATCGACGCAATACTATTGTCCGCTTCGGTTGTACCATCTTGTGCTGCTATGTAGATGTGTATTTATTAGGACATACTCAAAAATATAATTTAGATTTTGATGTCATACTTTTACTTTTTGAATTGGTTGATTTTGAGGCATTTGGTGTTGCTGGAGTTGCTGGAGTAGCAGCAGCAACAGTTGTTGTTGTAACACCGGCAGTTTTCTTTGCTGGAGTTGGTGCAATTTCCGTAGGTGCTGCGCCATCTGTGGCTGCTTTGCGTTTGTTCGCTCGTTCACCACGACTGCTTGCCGTTGGAGTCGACTAAAAAGGAAAATCAATATTAATTAATAATTTTCATTGAAATTCAGAACGAGAAAATCTGATATAAAATTTGTATAAAAGTGTATTCGCATTCAATCGGCTCTTTTTATACTCTGAACAGTGTATTTTAAGTTTCTTACGAATGAAACCTAGTATACCCTTTAAAATATATATATGTATGTGTCTGTGTATACACGAACTAATCCCTCCGTTTTTGAGATATCGATCTGCAATTTTACGCCCGACTTTTTCTTCCCAAGAAGCTGCTCATTTGTCTGAACCGCCGTTATCGGACCATTATAGCATATATCCGCCATACAAATTAACAAGTCATTGTACGGAAAATATTTTTATTTGGCATATATCTTCATAAAATTTGGCTCCGAAGAAATTATTTAGATCGGGCCACTATAGCATATCACTGTCATACAAACTGATCGATCAAAACACATTTTTCGATTTTTATTTGTAAAGGGTATTACAGCTTCGGTGGAACCGAAGTTAACGTCTTTTCTTGTTTCATTTAACTCTGTTTATATTTTAAACCCACGCTATATATATAATATAACAAATTTACTACATTTATGAGTTCATACAAACCTTTGCCGGCAGGTTTTTAGTTCGCGCTGTCGTCGAGCTAATTGGCGATGCCGCCCTAGCCTTTGCCAATGGTGAGCGCTGTGCCCGTGGTGACGCCTTTGAAGCTGTTCCTGTATTCTTTTGATTTGGTTTATATTCTGCATCAGAATCATCGCTGCTGTCGTTTTCCTCGTCTGTAGTTGACGACTTCCTTGATTTCGATTTACGTTTGGTGGCCAATTTTCTTTTCTTTGTCGAAGATCTAACACCGTTATCACCAGCAGCATCGCTGATGATATTTGCACGACCCCGTTTGCGGCCCTTCGTAGCAGACGTGGCTGATGAGGAGGCGCTTGCATTGTATTTGGCAGTTGTTGGTGTGCCTATTTCATTATTACCACTGCGACGAGATTTTCGAATAGCAGTGGGAGTTGTGCCCGTCGCAGATTTCTTTTCAATTTGAGATTCATCTTTGTACAGTGATAGATCAACTGAAAGAATATGAAGAATATTGTATTAGCTTAAAGTCAGGATAACTGTGTGTGTATATAGCCTATATTTGTTTGTACTTACGCCCATCGGGATTCTCCTCTGTGAGTTCAGGTCTTGGTACCAGTCCTTTCTCTACATCGATAGCTTTCTTGAGTATACTCTCTATGCGTGCCTGCTCCTTTTTCGGTAAACTGAGATGACCCTTGTCGACTCGTTTCAGTTCGACAGTTGTGAGCACACACTCTATGTCGGTGTGATCATAGAAATCAGGTATATAAATGCCACTGTTATTCGGATCTTCCGATAGCCAACGAATGCTAATGCGTGGTGATGTACGATAAACATTTTGCATCGTTTGACATAGGTAGAAAGTACCTTCTGCATTGCGCACCGCCATATATTCATTTTTGTAGAAAACGATCAACTTGTCTTCCATGGACATGGGCTTTGGTGAATTGGAAGCTTCGCTGGCTGACAATTTTGTGATGTATGCCAATTCAGGCAGTGGACTTTGAAATGGTATAGTTTTGAGACGGTGGCGAGAACTTTTGCGATCACTAGCGCTGGTGCTGGGCCCTTGCTCGGGTTTGGGTGTTATTGGTGTGGCGGGCGCATCGACGGCGGAGTTACTGTTGCTGCTGCTAACACCGTTCTTCGATTTTCGCGGCCGACTGCTGCTCGATACTTTTTCGGTTTTTTCAACCGTTGCCTTCTCCGATGATTTTGTTGCCGCTTTCGGTTGACGGCTTGAACGCTTAACTGGTGTACTAGTTGCGTCGATGACAGTGCTATTCGTCGAATCTGGCGCAGCTTCGGCTGCTTTTGATTTTGTGCTCTTTATAGTGGCATGATTGTTATTGCTGCTGGCGTTGTTGCTCTGCGTTGATTGATCGGCCGCCGACGTTGTTGCTTGAGCAGCTGTTGTGGATGCCTTTTCTGACTTTGTATTTTTAATTTTCTCTTCTCTAGGCTTCTCAGCGATTACAATTGCATTGCCTGATTGACGCTTATCTACCTCGTTTGAAGCTGCGTTGACTTTAGGTTTCGAGTCCACAATTGTTGCGGCAGCTACCGCTGTTTTAAAGTCATTTATCGCACTTGAAGTTTCTTTCTTCTCTGTGCTTATTTGTTTATTGGCTACATTATCTGAATTAGTTACAGGCAATTCAGGCTTTATCTTGGTGTTATCCGTTTTTTCAGTATCTTGAGGTGTTGCCGCTACTTTGGGTTCAGCATTTTCATTACCTTCTTTAGGTGCTAAAGCTGGCGATTTATTGGTTTTCTCGACGGACTTTGTATCTTCGGTTTCCTTAGTTGCAGGTAGGCTTTTTTCATCTTTATTAGTCGTTTCTGTAGATAACTCCAATTTCTTCGCGCTCTAAAATAAAAGATTTACATTAGACCACAGATTCCGTCAAAATTTCAAATACAACTTAATTTTGTTTTTATAATTACCTTATTCTCGTCCCCTTTGTTGCCCTGATCAGTCTTAGACTCGGTCTTGACGTTACTGTCTTGGTCCTTTACAACAATTAGCTTGCTCTGCTCTATCTTCATATCGCTGACCTTCTCACTGCCAACCGTAATGCCACTTACACTATCTATGGTCGCTTTATTATCCACAATAGCATTTGACTTTTCGACCGCACTGTCCGTTTCTGTCAGTTTCTTAGCTTTGGCATCCGCCAACATAACAGCATTTGTCTCTTTGGCAGCTACAATATCAACAATCTTTTCGGTTTTCGTCTCTGCTACAGATGGTTTTGCTGTGACTGAAGCTGAGGATTGATCCTCTTTAGCTTTTGCTGGCGCATCATTCGACTTTTCTGCGCCTTTGACTGCTTCGGTCGTTTCAGTTGTAGCACACTTAACATTCTTATCGGCATTTGTAGATGGTGTAATATTGGCACCAGTGGCCACAGGTGAGGTCGGTATTGAATTGATAGCCTTCTGTGTTGCTGTAGCTTGATCTGTACCACTTGAGATACCACTGTTTGCAGCGGTTGGTGCTGTGATGGTAGTTAATGCCGGAGAAGTCGTTAGTGCGCCAGTCGTTGCTGGCAACTGTGAAGCCGACGACGGCGAGGGTGCTGACGTTGCTTGTTTCGTAAGCGGTACAGGATTGACGGACTGCTGTGGTGCCTTATTCGATCCGGTCGTTATTGAGGCACTAGATGACATAGCTGCCGAACCAGTAGGCACTGAACCACCAGCTTTAGCCGTTGATGCTATGTTGGTAGTGGCTGTAGTATTACCACTAGACGATACAGCTGACGGCTTCTGAAAGTGAGTGGGGAATGGTGGTGGTATAGCACTAACAACTGGTGATGTTTTACCAGCGCCGAATTTGTTTTGTTGATGTGCGGCTGTTGGTGCTGCTGTCGACGTGCCTGATTTTGCCGGTAGCAATGAAATGGAGGGCGTTGGAGCCTGTTTGGTGCCGACACTTGGGGTAGCGTTAACGCCTCCACCGCTGGAGATCGCAGCGGTGGTTGACGTGGTTACTGGAGCACTACTCGCAGTGTTTTTAGCAGCTTGTTGCGCCACACTGCCGGGTATCATACCTACATTACCTGGCACCGGTGTGATTTGTGTGCTAGGCGGCAAATTTGGAGCTTTTAATTGATTACCAATTGCTGTGGTTGGTAGTGGAGCTTGTGGTGGTGGCTGTGTTGATGCAGCGCCGCTACCACCTTTATTGCCACTGGGTGTGGGTTGGGGTGCAGCTGATGGTTGTGTGGGTGCAGCTGTGGGGAAATAACGTAAGCTCTGTTGGAATTGCTGGAGTGCCTTTTGTTGTTGTTGTTGGAATTGTCCATGTAGTTGTTGCTGTTGATGTGCCGTCAACAAGGGTTGAGGTTGCTGCTGTTGTTGTGGTGATGGTGGCGGCGGTTGTTGATGAGTTGGATGGTGTTGAGCTTGCGCCGCTTGTGCCGGATGTTGCTGCTGTTGTTGATGCTGTTGGTGTTGTTGATGTTGGTGCTGATGTTGTTGCTGCTGCTGATGTTGTTGCATTTGATACTGTAATGTTTGCAATTGTTGAATGATATTTGTTGGCAGCGCCTGCAATTGCTGCTGGAACTGATTCAGTGCAGCATTAGGTGCGCCAGCACTACCATTCGGTTGTTGTTGCTGATGTTGTTGAAAAGTTTTATTTAGCAGTTCAGCGGCGGCTGGAGTCCTGGTGAGTGCTAATGGTTCACCACCGCCTCCTCCGCCACCACCAATTCCTACGCTACCGCCGCCACGATCCTTTTGCTGATGTTGCTGTTGTTGTTGGTGCTGCTGTTGCTGTTGATGTTGCATTTGAAAATGTAATAATTGTTGTTGCTTCAACATATTTTGAAAACGTTGTTGTTGCAGAAATACATTTAGCTCAGCCTGCGATGATTGCGGCAACGTATTTTGGCCATGAACCAAATTCTGCATTTGCTGTTGTATACCGGCTAAAGTTTTTGCAACCTGCTGATTATTCGGTCCATTCGGCGGTATCCCTCCTCCCATGCCGCTGCCGCCGGCACCAGGTGGCTTCTGATTATAGCTCATGTTCGCATAAAAAAATTTGAGAGGGATGTGGTATTAAGTTATTTCCCCGAAAACTGAATAGAAGAAAACAGTTAGGAATTAGAAATTGGAAGTCATCATCTCGGTTTTCTAGAAAACTCCGGGAAGAGAATTACTCAAACCAAACAAAATGTGAACATGGAAAATACTGCTAGAGAAAAATATTGACAATACCTCATAGGAATGCGCCAGGCAAAGTCGCTAATGGTTAGTTATAACCTTACTAGGTTTAAAGCATTATTTATCTCCCGAGACACAAATACTGGCTACTGTCGTTTTGCAACATGTACCCGGAAGCTTCCGAGAACCTAATTCTATATCATTAGCACCCAGCAGGATACTTGAATTAATCAGAGTGTTGACTTTGTGTCAGGAGGCACAATATATTATTATCCATTTAGGTAAAAAAAAAATAGTTTATCACTAAATACTTGCTTCAACTTTTTGAGAGTAGCAAAAATGTCATAACCTTCTTACTTTTCTGACGTATTCGATGTTCATATAGATTTGTTTGTGTAAGAATATTATAAAGTGTGAACATTAAAAGCCTTCTCATTGATGAATGTTGGGTTTATCAGTATTGCATACTTCTACATGTGTTGTGACATATGTACATATGTATCATAGATATTATATATCTACCTATGGTATATAGGAGATTAAAATTTGTGCAGACATGATATTGAAAGAGAAATGTTTGGCATGTGCTTTGACTGACTCAATTGCTAATTTATCTGTGCGTTGCTACTAAGCGTTTCGCGTTCAACGAACTTTTGTTTACAACGCAAAAACGTGGACTGTATTGTCCGGAAAATTAATAGAAAATACAGGTATGTAAATTTGTTTCCATACATACGTATATAAATAACAAAAAGTGTGCATATTTAAGACTAATAGGTACATTTTGGAAATTGGTCCTTAAAATTGTGGGCCCTTGCAATTGTTTGCATCACTTGACCTTGACTAGCACCAAATTTTGACATCATTAAAATCTTTTTAAATAATTAACACATTATTCATTCAAACTATCTCCGAATTATAGCTAAAATGTTCTATGGTAATACTTTTAATGTTAAATTTACGCAGATAATAATAACTGCCCGTACCCACAAAAAATTTTAATTATTTTTAATAATAATATTTTTAAAAGTAATATTTGCATAGTATGTACAAGTATATGTGTACAAATCTGTTTTCTAACAAACCAACCCTTTAATTGCATAACCTGCACATACTTTCAACAATGTATACACAGCCTGACCCTTCTCCGTATTTCTACACAAATAAGCACGACAGGAAGTTCGGTTTGATGAGTAAAAATAAATTGTTGGCAAACGCTTAAGCTTACCAGCCAGTCTAGTTAACCAACCACCCACATTTACATATGTATACCTACCTTTTAGTTACGAGAGAGGGCAACAAGCTCGACAAGAATGTTTAAAAAAGCTATCAAACTCACCCACCGCTCTGCTAATCTGTAAAAATGAAATGCCGGTTACTGTTATGTGGTTAGGGCATCAGGCTACATACGAATATGCAGACAATTTGACACACAAAGCGAAAATCAATTTTCCTTTTCAATAGTAGGTTTTTTACCTAGATATTTTGCATGTACCACATCTATATGTACATTAGTTTTTGTTTAGTTTCAAATGAAAATGATTTGCCATAATTTAAGGCTTAACAAACACGAATTTAAGTATGACACAATTTACGATAATACATAAAAGCTAATAACCGAAAAAGACAAACATATGTATATATGTACATCTGTATGTTTGTGTACATAAATACTTCCAAATACAAAGAAACAAACAAGTAACACAACACTTAAACCTGTTACGTTAGCACATTTATTTCATGGAGATTCAAAAAACACTTAAGTTAATTTATTGGAGGGCATATGTTCATTCTTGAACAATGCTTTATACACCTGTTCTCAATCCTTCATTTGTAAAGTATTCATTAGAAGTCCTTATTTAATTAAGCAAAATATTTTAGAACGAACTAGTTAAAAACAAGTACGCTTGCGTCATATTCTACACAAATAGAAACCGGTGATGGGAAAAACTGGTCATACATACTTAAATTTTAACTCATATAGTATTTGTAGGCAATATTGAATTTCAGCAATAGAGAATTTTAGAATTTAATTTTTGTCGTGTTCATACTTATGCTAATATAAAAGAATAACATTTTTACTGTACCTCTCCTAGCTCATTATTTCACCTAAGTTGTACCTATTTATCTGTTTGTTGCGCCACACACGTCCGATAGACATATGCGTGTGCGAAACCGAATTTCAAAAACATAACAACCAATTTCAATTCAAATTCCGGCAACATCAATAAATCATTTGCTATTGTTGCTTTCGGTATCGAGCCAATATTGGGCGCGCAATATTCGTTGGCCGTTAATCGACAACAAGAAAACAAACGATGTGGAGCATAGCCACCCAAAACTCAAGCGGCATTATATGCTTAATAAGCAAGCAGAAATCCAGAGAAAGCAGAACATGCGATAGTGGAGCAACGAACAACAAAGTCATGACGCGACGTCGAAGCAAAGCCAAGACACGGCACAGCCTGTATGCTTTGCTGACTTTCTTAGCATGTGGGGTTACGGGCATTGTGGCGGGGCACCAAACATGATAGTCAAGTGGTGCGTGCTCCGCGCGAAGTATTGCGCGGTTTAGACTACTGCTTCTGTCGTTTCTGTGCTGACCGCGCTGCTTTCGTACAGAATTGCTAAATCCAAAACTAACGACACTGCCCGCGCGCTATCCTCTTTATAAGAAAAAAAACACACACACACAATTACACATACACGTATATGCACTAATGTCGTGCGGTTCTCTTGCTTCTCTTTTTCATATGGTTTCAAACATAATACATCTCCACTTACTTTTAATCTGTGTATCCACAAAACTCGGCTATTAATTTGGCCGGAATATAAAGTAGTTTTCTATATTTTATGATAATTCCTTAATATATTTCGTCGGCAATTGCGCACATTTCTTTATACTTTTTTACCACTGTGTGAACTTTTTTCTTTAATGTTCCTTTGCTTCTCTTCCTTTCCGTTCTTCTTAACCAACTGCTGCGGCAACGACCGAAATTATTCTTCGATTTTTCACTAGCAATTTTCATATGAAAATAATTGCGAAAAATACTCAGTTCTTATATACACGTATAGCACATTCTGTCCACTTTAGTCTTATGCCTATTTTTTACAATTTTATTTATTCTTAAAAGCGAAAATTTTATATTTTTCTGCGCTCAAGACGAGAAAATGAAAATTTTTTAGAGAAATTGCACGACAAACGAACGACACGAACGACAAACGAGGAAACCGAAAAAAAACTCTACACCTTGACTTCGACTCTCCATACGTCTATAGATGGCGTCCGTTCAGTGTTGCATTGTGCGTTCGTATCAATGCAGCCATTTAGTGTTGGGCACCACTGTACACTGTCCCCAAAATAAACGTTTTAGTTATTAAATTGCAAATTAATAATTAATGTAAATAAAGTTTTTCTTATTATCATCATATATTATCTCGATCATAATATACTTTACCAAAGTGCATTATGCGTTTATCTGAAAATTAAGCTGTCAATTCAATATGAATAATATTAGTTGTACGACTAAATCGAGCCACCATTTTTCGTGAAATAAATATTGCATAATGAGTACCTTTTAAAAACTTTAACAGTGAATAATTAGTAGAATTAACGAAAAAATTATTTAGTTAACTGTCTTGTTTATTTATCATGGAAATTTGGCGTTTAATAATCACCAATATGGCAACACTTTATAGGTGCATTGTTTTGTTTTATTCACATATGTTTTGCGATTGTGAAATAAAGTGAGAGCTGACAAAATTAGCTAGACGTTAAAATATTACTAATATTTATTAAAAATGGGAAAAGAGCAAATTGCGCTTCCAGATGAGGACTTGGACTGGATTCAATTGCGCCAGGATTTTGGCTCATTTCAGCCAGAAACCACCAAAGAAAAAATGTTGCGCAAAATCAAAGAGAACCCAGTTGTTCCGATTGGTATGTAATAGCTGCTCCCTAGATATTTCCGTTGCAAGCTGAAAATAATTATATAAGTGAAAAGAAATCGAATTACGACAATTATTTCGTCATTTTATCTAAACATATAGGTTGCTTGGCTACCGCTGGTGCATTATCCTATGGACTATATAGCTTTCGAAATGGCAATCGACGTATGTCTCAGATAATGATGCGCACACGTATTGCTGCGCAAGGCTTCACGGTGCTCGCATTAGTCGCTGGCGTCGTTATGACGTATGACACCAAACAATAGAGGCAGTTAGTCTGGTGTGGCAGATACAACCAGTTGCTAAAAAGAGATGGGTGTGTGTAATAACTAAAGTATCATTTAGCCACTCATCTACTAATAATAATTAGTATAGTGTTGAATATGTTATATGTTTCTAAGTAATAATTTGTTTTCAATTATCATTAAAAAAAATTTTTAGCTAAAGCCAAATAAGCGATGTGTCTATTTTAATGTGTGGACAGCTATTTTTATAAACTGAACAGGGTATATAAACGAAGTTGTAACACCCCGAAGGAAACGTCGGAGGTCCTATAAAGTGTATAGCATATAAGTGATCAGCGAGCAAGAGATAGCCTTGTTCTTTTGTCTGCCCGTCTTTCCGTCCGACCATCTGTTTGTATATACTCAACCTAATCCCACAAATTTTGAGATATCGAATCTGAAATTATACATAGCTGTCATACAATCTGATCGATCAAAGTCCAGTTCTTCTATGGAATATTTTGTATTTGTGAACGAAATTATAGCTTCTTGTTAATAGTTTTTATTCGTTTATTTTATATACATACATATATTGTATAACGGATGATATACAGCTGTGTTCATAAAAATAGCCGTGCTCATGAGCTGCAACTTTAAACTTAATTTTATATATCAAAAAGTAAAAGAATGAATGTTCACAAATTTAATTTTGTTTTAACTTTGTGATTATTTTAAACAAAAACAAATCAATTTATTATTCAAAATGTTGTTAATTTTTCTTACATTATTAATTTAAACAAAAAAGTGCTGTTTACAGCTGTTTATAAAAATAGCAGCGTGTAATGAAAACAGTGGAATTAGTTGAAAAAAACATTGTTGAACTCCAAAAAACGATTTTAATTTGTTTGCTTGGGTTAGTACTTAGTCGTGTACCCATTATTTTTTATTACGGCCTGGCATCTGCGAGGCATAGAATCCATCAAGTCCTGGCAGCGCTTGACAGGGATCCGCTCCCATGATTTTTGAATAACCTTCCAAAGCTGTGATCGAGATGTTGGATTTGCATTTGCAACATATCGTTTAACATCTCCCATGACATAAGATCGATCCGCTTTGATGCCATCCAGCTTTTGACTAGTTTGCTTGTATGTTTGGGGTCGTTATCTTGTTGAAACGTCCATTTTAGTGGCATTTCCCAATTGGCATAAGGAAACATAACATTTTTTAATATGTTAACACATACAGATCGATCCATGATCCCATCAATCATAAATATAAGGCCCACTCCACTGTAAGAAAAACATGCCCATACCATAATACTCAATCCGCCGTGTTTAACTGTCTTCAAAGTGTACCTAGCCCTTTCCACCAAATAACACAATTTTACTTTCGTCACTCCATAAAATATTTCGCCACTTTGTAATGGGCCAATTAAGGTGACTTTTGGCGAACTCCAAACGTGCTTTGACATGCCTGGTGGCTAACAGTGGAACGTTTCGTAGATGGCACGCTTTGAGATTTTGTTCTTTAAGACGTCGCCGAATAGTAACGCCACTAACATTCAAGCTTAAGTCATTTTTTATCTTGCTGGACGATGCAAAAGGCTGCGCCCTGCTATATCGCACAATAGATTGGTCCTCATGAGGCGTGGTTTTACGTTGGATACCACGATTTTCGGGCATTTCTTTAAAGTTTAAAGCATTATGAATCATTTTAGCAGAACATCAACATATTTCTTGGATGTCTTTATATGTTTTTCCCAGGTTTCTTAGTTGCACTATAATATTTCTTTTTTCAGGAGTACAATATTTGCCCCTGCCCACTAAGTTAAAAAATATAAATTTATTTTGTTTTCTAACTATTATTAGTCACTAACACAAAACCACTTACTTTTTATCAATTAAACGTCTTAACAAAATTTTTTTGGCTTATCAAGATACGCACTGCTATTTTAATGAACAGCCAAAGACTGGTGCTTCTAGCAAAAAGACTTGTTCATTTGCTTAAATCTCGCAAATCTAACGGAATTTTTTCGTTTCTTCCTTATACACATTCCATTCTACGACAACAATGCGTAGACGTTGGAATAATCGTAACAGAACTTGAAAAAAAAATAACATTACTTGATTGCATTTCTCGCACTGCTATTTTTGTGAACACAGCTGTACATACTTTTAGTCTTCTACATTATTGACTATTATCAAGTAGTTGGATTACGTGCGTTATTATGGTTCTCCAATCGAAAAAGGTAGCTACTACTAAATTCTTCTATAGTTTCTTTTACAGTGGGCATTTTTAAGTCTTGGCGGAGGACGTTGTTATTGTTGTTGTTGCAACGGTTATCTAATCCCCGCTTGGGTGATAATTTATAGTTTGGTTGTCGTCGAGGTCATCCAGTAGGCCCAGGAAACAAGCTGTTTCGACGGGGTCGGACCCTAGGGAAGTGGGTGTTATCCAGAACGAAGTTGCATTGTTGCGGACTCTAGATTCACGAAGCAACTCGAACTCTACGTCTGCGATGGGTGGTGGTTATATATATGAGTAGCTTGTTCTTTAAATTGAGACGGAATCTTAACTTTAGAAGCCAGTACAGATGCGCAAACCTTAACCTAAGCTGGGTTCTATTAATTTTCCCGTGGTCTATCCATGTACGTCTCTAATCAATTGTAAGTCCCATATAATTTGCGATTGTGCTTGTTGATAGCAACTGACCACATAAGGCCACTTGGGGACATATTTCGAAGCTAATGGAGAGGTGACGATAGGCGCCTTCTAAGAGATCAAAGGTGTTTCTGAGAATGCGTCTCACGCAAGTGTAACAGAAGTACTAAAGAAAAGGAACGTAGCAGCACCAGTACGCACCGCTGTCAAGGGTACGCGGACGATATTGTCACATTAGCAAGAGGCAAATTTGAGAACAAGAAAACTCTCAAGCACGTGTTGCTAGACTCCACAGCAGTCTGTAAACGCAGAATAAAGGCCCTTGGATCTAAGGGATCACATCGCCTCAATAGCACCCAGCAGGATAATGGAGTTTATCAGTGTGCTGGGCCTATGTGATGCGTTGATGCGGAGAGGGCACAATCGACCTTAGGTCGCGGTGCATGCATCAATCTAATTTTATTCTATTCTACACCACTTTTATTGAGTTTTCAATAATAATGCCAATGTTTTGTTCGATAACATTATGTAATAATAATAATGTAATAATTGACATATTAAGGGTAATTTTGTGATTTCACACTCCTTCCCACTTGTTTGGTCTTTTCCTTACGCATATGACTGATGCAGCCTGAGTTATAGAACGAGAAGCTTCTATGGGATGTGAGTCTGTGTGTTTAGGACAATTGAATGTCATTGGGGAATAGTAGTGTCTGCCCAGGAGGTAAAGATTACTCTTGTGTTTTCGATGGGCTGTTGTTCCAACATTGGAAGGAGAAATGCTCCTAAATGAACGTCCGTTGTTGAAGATCCGGCCTTCGGCCCAACTAATACTGCTCTGATAGTAGGGCATTCTGCATTTTTACTGGAAACATTCGTAAGGCATTGTTCCGAGGTCATTAAAAGGCATCTGGTGATGATGAGAAGAGCGTTTTGATATACATATATGTATATGATTTGAGAAGTAGTCGGCGTTGTTGCCTACTGACCAGCTGATAGCTTTGAGCGTGTTAAACTAGCTTACCTTATTTTTGCCACATGTACTAACTGCTAGGAACGAGAGTCATTTTTCCTGCTATGTAGTTTTTTGTTTATAGCTCTTATGTATCTAAGAAGAGAAATTATTGCATTTTCAGTTAGTACCTGTATGTGATATGTGGCCGGTATTTTATTCCCTTCAATTTCAATGTATATATATCTCGATTTTCGATAACATTACAATTCCCCATTGTCAACAATCTGCATAATTCCGCAGAAATCCTCCCTGCAGTCGTCTTCTTGAAACAGAGACGCCTTCTAAGTGCATCTAGAGGTCATTTCATGAATACGTCGACGAGATTGAACAACACGTCGACCAGACTACTATTAACACCTTCACCGACTCCCTCCCTGTTAATAGCGTATTTGTAGTCAAACGACCACCCATCACAGACGAAGAGCTCGAGTTGCTCCAGGAATCTAGAGTGATTCTTGCGTTACTTCGTATTGTAGCAGATTAAACTCCTACCTATCCAGAATTGACCCCGATATACATACCAAATACATATACATAAGTCCTGCGAAGGCTAGGCCTCCACCAAATTTCTCATCCACGACCCTTATGTATAGCGTTGAAACCTGCACAACTCGTACAATCTGAGCGGCTGCTTAACTTGGTTTCTTGGACCGCAGCTATCGATACGCGTTCCCATGATAGTCGGGTCTAAGTAACCGGAACGCACCCGGATTTTTATCCAGCCAAGAACTGTCAACTCGGCACCATTCCTAGAAATTACTTCAGGAAGGTTTTCTGCCGTTAAAACAACAACAACAACATACGTGTTCCCGGCTCATAAACGCAACTATCTCCACGATCATATTCTGGAGTCCATTGCAGTTAAAATTTGAAATACGAGTTTTTCGCGGGTGTCTAGGGGTGATCGTAGGTGTGAAAGAGTGGTGTGTAGTTGGTAGTTGTTGCACTGTAGAACCTGCAGGGGCGGTTGTCGCACTGTGATGTTTTTGGCGACGCCACGATAGGCGGGGGCAGATTTTTGCAGCACGTGGCAATGTACGATACACTCTACTCGCGCGTGGTGCGCTGGCCGGAATACGTCGGGAAGTGACAACAGTCAGTACAAGAACTGCACTTGACTGATCTGACGGAACAGACTGTACGAGGAACCAGGAGTTGCTGAGTGGTATACGCTTATACAACAAAAACGCAAAAGCAAAAAAATGAGATGATATTGCCAATAATAATGTAATAGTAATGTAAGGTTCAACGTATCGAAAGTCAAGGACTACCAGAATGGTAGATGCAAAAGCATGATTGGTTTTGAGTTTTGTGGTGGTAATATATTTATTTTAGAATCTCTACTGGTGCAAAGGAAGTTTTCTTTAATTGGTCCAGACCTTCCCAGTGTGTGTTTGATACAAAATAGAAAAACTACTCGAACGCATTTTCTACCTCTAATCTATCGTTTAGGCCTTTGCCCGACCGTTCGCTCACAGAAATAATGCTGAAACTCATTATATATTTTAATTCATTATACGGTCTGATTTCTCTATATAGTTCAAGGATTGATAATCTGACTCAGGATTTGTGAACGTGCACTTAATAGTCAGTATCGGCAATAACCCTTCGATTTTAAAAATCTACAAGCCCGAACTTTAGACTTGTAAAACCCATAATTTTTGAGACAACTTTACAATCCCATCTTGAACGAGAACGCTGTTTTACCCCCATCCGCATTTTGCAACCAACCATAAAAATGAAAATAATGCCATTTTTGTTTTGTTTTCTCAGCATTCCTCCATTATGACGAGGAACCCGCAACTTTATTCATTTTATCATCGGATTTTATTTTATTTTAATTCTTGTTTTACCTTTCATTTGTTTTGTGGTTTTGTTGCTTTTTTACATGCCTATTTCTTTTGATTTTTAAAAGACATACATATTAAGAATTTGCAACGTCTTATTTGGGAGGGAGGGAAGTACATATTTATGTTTGGTATTTTTATTTGCATCGTTTTCAAATTTATACTTTTCTGGTATTACACATAAATTCTGACTGGTTTTTGACATTCCACATGTGTAATTCGGATCTTTTTTTTATATTTTCATACTTTTTTGACTTTTTTCTTATGTATTTTTTTAAATTTAATTTGCTTATTGAGTTTTTTTATATATTTATGTTATGAAGTTGTTTTTGTTCACTTTTTATGAAATTAATTTAAAAGAAGAACTTATTACTGATCTACATATTTGTATTTAAATTATAGAGAGAGAATCTACAGTAACAAATAATTAAATTTAGTTATTTGTTTTTTTTCTGAGGTGTAAAGCTCAGCTAAATGGGGAGAAAGACTGAGAAGGTGTAAAGAAACTAATTAAACTAATAGATTTGAGGATTTTATTTTTTTTGTCAACTTGCAGTTAATAATGTGAGCATTATTTTTATGTTTAATTTTTAATTATTATTTGTGTTTTTTATTTAGTCTTATCATTGTAAAATTATTTTTTATAATAGCTAACTATTTTATTTTAGTTTTCTTCGTTATAAATTTTTATATTATTATTTATTTTATTATGACTTTATCAATTGCAACTGCAATTATTTTTATTTTTTATTTTTTCGTTTTTTTTCAATGCTACTTCCGCTGCTTGCATAGCTAAAGTTTAGCTGTTTACGACGCTTAGTCAGACTTTTTTTTGCAGAAGAAAATGTTTGCATTATTGTGTACTTAATTTTTTTTTTTTTTTGTAGAATTTAATTATTATTAATTTTTCCGGTTTTTGCTTCTTATTTTATTTTGCGTCTCTTTTTGTTCATCTTTCGCGTTAATTTGGTGAAATTTTCATTCTTTCTTGTTTTTCATTACATTTATACTTTTTTTGAATTTTTTTTATGGAAAAAGGCACAAAACCCTTACTTCTTACTTTGCAAACGCACAAATTATGTATTTTTGTTTTTTAATAATTATTATTTTTTTAATTAACTTACTTCTTTTTTACATAATGAAAATTGGGAATTTTTTTATAAATTTTTTCGGCATACAACTATGCGGTTGATGGACTATTACTTAAGAATATTACGAAAATGAAAAATTGTATTACTTTGTTTAAAAAAATTGCAAAGAATGTTAAACGAAATGTTTGTTTTAAGATTTTGTTAATTTTTCATACATACATTTTAAAATGCTAAACTCAAGTTTGTAGTTGTACACATATTTTACAATTGAACATTTTGTTTTTAAATTTTATTTTTAAACTTTTAATAATTTTTTAAATAATATTCTTGTCAAAAAACGGTTTTTCTTTTTCTTTTTGCTCTACCTATATAAAAGCTTTAGCCCAACCACCGCACTGTTTTACAAAACAGTTCAAATTTTGTTTTACTTTCGCAAAAATATATAACTTTGCTAACTATTTAGCATTTTTACTCAAGAACTAATACTTATTATTACTTGATTTCATATTATTTTTATTAATTTTTGTTTACTAGAACAACAAGTTCAATTTCTAATTCACTCTTCATGGAGTAGCAGCAATATTTCTCCTTTGTTCTGATAAATGTTCTTTTGAAAAATATAATAACATACATATAACATATTTTACAACTGAGTGAATAAAGCAGTTTTACAATTACGGAAATAAATGTTTTTGGATAAATTATTTTCCTTTAGTGCTACTATAATTATACATATACATATGTTTAATCAACCAATAGGTATTTTTTGCATGTGAAAAAAAATAGAAAAAAACAAGTATTTTTTTTTAATTTTTTTGCTTCACTTTACACAAATTTTCGGCAAACATTTTAAATAAGAGTTTCATATGATTTGGTTTCATATGAATATTAATTAAATATTTGTATGCATTATACAATATTTACTTGTATTTACATATATCAGCACTGCAATTATTTGCACTCATGCAATTTAAAACAAATTTTTCTTCCACAAATATCGTACGCTTTGCATAATTATTTTTACAATTATTTATGCATGACACGCCCACTACTTGGCTATGCACATAATACACTATTTGTAAATATGTATTGTATGTTTGCCTATTTGCATTTACACTTAGTTACATATGCGTACAGAAATTAGTAGCCTAATTATTTCATTGCGCCGGATATTCCTTTAACAAATTTCCATATCCGTACGCCATTTTTTATTTAAAGATATTCTTGAATTTAAATTTGTTTCTTTTTATTAAACTTTGTTTGTTTGTTTTGCTTACATTTTTTGCATTTTCTCTTGATATTTTTGGTACACTATGCTTGCATTGTACAATTTTACCGTAATTTGTAATTTTTCTGTACATCACTGTAAGTAAACTAATTAGTAGAATAGCGTTTAATGTTCATTATATACAATTAATATTTCAAGTGAAGCGGAAAAATAAAATAAAATTTTTTTGCTCAGTCACACAATCGCTTACTATTTGCATACATGCATACAATTCCCGTATTTTCTCTTACTAACGGCTGCCTCTCTAGCAGTGAACACTCGGTATGTTTCTCTTATATAACTTCGTAACTTTTACTTGTTTTTCTAAATTTTCCTTTCGTACGCGGATCAATCTTGCCTTACTCTCATTTTTTTCTTTGTATCTGCTTTTCATCGCTTGCTCAAACACACGCGCTTATTATAATTGCCTAATTTTCAATACTCGTGTTTGCTTTGTTAAAGTTTTTTTTTGCAAACAATATTTTTATATGAAAATTTAGTTTTGCATTTTTTATTTGCATAGATTTTTCATGAAATGAAAACTAACGCTTAAAAATAGTAACAGCAAAGTGCAGTTCTTTGCCTTAAAGTCGAATTTTTTTTAGACTTCTTAGGTATATACTATTATTTTTACTAAACAGCTTTGAACCTGAAAATAGTCAGCTTTTAGTTGACTTCCACTCTTTGCTAAGCTTTCATAACCAAAAATCGTTGCAAATACCTAAATGTGTTAACTAAAAGCTAACTACTTTTGGATGCACCTCCGCTGTTTAACCGAGTATGCAATGTTTGACTATTGACACAGTTCAAGCGCTTTTATTTTTAGGTTATGTCATTTCGATTCAACTCAAAAACTTATTTGTAAAATCTTACTATAGATGTTCAGCTGAATTTTGCTCTTTTTACAGAAATATACACACAATTTTGCTTTATTTATACAACTTCTTCTTTTTGGCTATTATTTTGTTTTTGCTCCTCTTTCTGTTTCTGATGAGCTTTCGGTTTTTATTTTACAAGATATTTGTTGGAAACTTTCTTATTATCATGTACTCATATTTCAAAATACACATCAAAAGCTTACAGTGTTTGCATTCATGATTTTTAACGGTATTTTTCATAAACTATATATATTATATATATATATAAATGTATATATACAGTGGTGTAAGTGAAAGCCGTACAAATATTTGGAAAGCTTGGTAAAGAAAAATATTGTTTACCCAATGTGTGCCTACAAAACTTAGTAGCTAAAACCGATTTTTTACAAAATTCGTAAGAGTTTAAAGTGCAGTATTGAGTCCGAAAAATGTCGTCTGTTTCCATGAAGAGCGGGATTATATCACTTAAATTGGGTCAGTTATGTCACTATGGACTATTGCCACGGCAGCATGGTTCAAAATTAATTGGTGGATGTTTTTTTGTCATTACAACTACAACTATAAATGGTTAGACACAGTGCTGTTTCAATTTTCTCTTAAGTAAGTAATTACTCAATTGCATCTGATCGCCTATTTAGTGGCTATGTTTTGTAGGCAGAAAAAGTATGCGACTATGAGCGCACGGCAATTTTTAATTTAATTTTTTTTTCAGTATTTTGAAAAGCAAAGAAAGTAGAAATTATTTTCAGCTGCTGAAAGTGACTTAGTTCAGAATACATTATTGTATAGGTGCACACTTTAGTACATAACTGTTGGTTCAATAGTTTTCTTGTATGGTTTGCATAAATATATTACAACTATTTTCGAATTCACTGCATTTTAAGAACACCAAAAAATAATTTTTGAAAAAAAAAAATTTAACGTGCGCTTCGTTAGGTGAAAACATATATTAAATAATTAATGTATCATATTGTATATACTTATATATATTATTATATATAATATTAAATAATGCAATTAACTGAAAAATTGTACAACAAAATTAGCTAACTTGTTTATAACTCGGCTAGTTTTTTGTTTGCTATTAGAAATCATACTATTTTGTATTAACAGAAGTGAAAATATTTGTTTGAATATTTTTAAATTAGCATATATAGCGTTTGTGTGGGACACGCCCGTAAAGAGACTATATAATGGTTTTGACTAATGTAATGTTATATATTGTATCCTGTAGCTTTGCGTAGGAGCAAAGGGTCGCATATGTTATGCATTTCTATAATGTTGGCATGAAACTACTGAAAAGTGAGGTTATAATTGAGTGTAATGATAATTACAAAGGCGTAGCGTGAATATACCAAGCGAAAAAAATAATTTTTCAAACTATTTTTTAAACAAGTGTGCAATTCGGCCGACCACGCTTTCATAAATTTAATGGAAATGTTTGCGTATGAGTAGTATCGTATGTATGCATTGCTATTTGTACATATGTGTTTGAAGTTGCGCAAAATGTTTCGCTTTCATTACTTTTACTAAACTTTTTACATTCTTTGCACCGTTTACACAAATACTTTCACACAGCGCTTTACATACATATAATATTTGCCTAACACTATACATAAACCTTTCTATATATACCTATGTAATTTGTTCCTAAATTATAATATAATGTTGTTGTAAAACAAAATACAGTGCGCATTTTCGATGAAATTATGTTAAGTAATTATAGTAGTTACTTAATTAAATACTTTTACTACTATAATTAAATTGTTCAGTTGTTTTTGTTTCTGTTTACAAATTTTCAACTTTCTGTTTTTACAATTTGCTGCATTTTGCCAATTTTTGCTGCAATTTCGCCTTATTTCATACATAATATTTTAAAGCAAAATTCTTGAATGTTTTGCCAATTTTTTTAAAAACAAAAAAAAAACATACAAATATAAATATTTTATCATTTGTTAGAATTAATTAAAAGTAATTACAATTTTTACTTTGATTTCACAAATACACACGTACATATGTATGTGTGTCTGCGTTAATTTGTTATAATATTATATTAATATGAATTGGTATAAACGCAAATAGTCTAATATCGCAAATAACGGCAATAAAAAAAACATAAAAGGGGTGCACTATTTGAATACATATATTTTTTTTGCACTCGCTTTCTGCAGCGAATAAAGTATTGTGCTTCACGCAAAGCAAATTTTACACTTTATGCTAATAAAATAATTTTAAAATTAAGGGGAATAATCGTCATAATTGCATAGAAAATGATTATTCTTGCACACACATAATATTTTGTTAATTTCTTCTTTTGCATAACGGTACGTCTACATTTTATATGCAAAATATATAGCGTTTGCAATGTGTTGGCATATTTTGCAATATTTTGTAACGCATTAGCGTGTAAATAATTGAAATAAACACAAACGCGGAGTTGCTATCAAATTTTAACAAAAAATTATAGCAATTCAAAAAAAAAAAACAACGACAGAAATAGCAATAGAATTATTTAACATAAGCAACGCAAATATATTAACAGAAAATCGAACAATGAAAAATTTCAAAAATTTATATTATTAATGTTACATTTGAATACATACATGCATGTATGTGTATGCATTTTGTATACAGAAAACAAAAAGTGTACAAACGAATTATACAATTAACTGCATTGCACTAAACACGCGTCGCCAATATTGGCGCAAGCGCGCGTATATGAATGTATGTAATTGATGTGTGTGCTGTTTTTTTTTTAGATTCCTTTCCTCTAGAAATGGTATAATTCTATACCAGCATTTTTACTGCTTTTGATTTGGGCACCTTTTTCGCGTTATGTGACCAACAGGCTGCTTTAAATAGATTTTGATAACAAGGCGTGCTGTTCTAATTTGCTAAAAATAAATATTTTACATTAAATAATGTCTCATAAAAAAGTTTTATGAAAGTTCTGGTGAAGGCAACAGCCAAAACGAGAATTGAACTTTAATTGTTATAAGCACACACACATATAAATAAATAAGTATGTATGCATGCATATTGGAATTTAACAAAATACGCGAATTTCCACTGCAACGCCCATAATTTTTTCTCGACACATATGCAACTTTAACATTTTCATTGTCATAATCATCATAAATAAATAAATTAGCTCATTTTTGGTTTGCTTTTTGTTTTTTTCGCGAACCTTTAGTGGTTCTCTTTATTTCATCTTTGTCATAATACAAATAAACTCAACATTGTTTCTTCTTTAATTTGCCAAACAACAAAAAGGTGCAACGTGTTCACAATTTACTCTTGCCCTCTGTCTAAAGATTGCTACGCCAAATCCAACTTAAGATATTTATAAGTGGTGTGTGTGTGCCTTGATTTGTGTGTGTGTTACAACACACACTTTGCGCGGGGTTGGAGTTTTTATTTGTTGTTGATGAGTTGTATGTGATATTTACCGTTATTGAATGTGCATGACGGGATGTTAAATCGAATGAATGATCGAGATCTAGATCTTAAAAAAAAAAACGTATAAAGCTATGTAAAAGCATAAGCTATTTGATTAACTACAATATTTAGAGATTATGTGACTGAAAAGTTCAATTTACAAGCAAAAGTATTTATGTTGACGTGGCCACACAGGTGGGAGGTTAATCTTGTTGAATCTTAAATCGTGTACCGCAGCACATAATTTGACCTGCGCGCTTTATAGTACTTGATAAAAAACATGCTTTGTACGAATAGTTTTATTGTTTGTGTGACTTTAAAGTGAAGTTACCACAAAAGAGAGATAAATTTTGACTAATCAGTTGTTTATGGCGGTGCACATTCAATTCGGTAAACAATTTTATGTATCATATCATTTTGTAATATTATTATTATATTTTTCGATTTTTTTGGGACGGGATTCCTCGCAGTTCTGCTACGACGTTAGGTTCCATTCTTTTCGCATAATTTTTGTACATAGTGAACATGGGGTGTTGATTTTGTGTAAGTTTCGCTAAAGAACCCGATTTTTTCTGTTTGGATAATGTTGCATATACGCTGCCGCCATTGCTGTTGGCTAACAACGAAACAATAAGGAATGCAAACATTAATTTTTGTTTACGTTATTACTGCTTTTTTTCACATGCAGCTATTATTTAACATGAATATTTTTTGGGATCTCATACATACATGTTTCATATTAATTTTTTTTACATTTTTGCAGTTTTGCTATTCGTGTATATATGTATGTGTTCTTCTATACATTTAATTTTTTTTTTTTAATTTTTGTTGCATTCAACATTTTTTTGTTTTTAATTTTTTTTTTGTAGTTTTAAATTAAATTTGGAAAAGTAATAATTATGAGTTTGATAATACAGTAGACTCAAAACAAGAAAAAATGAAAAAAAGAAAAGAAAAAAAAACTAAAGTTAAGCAAGGATATAAATACAGTTAACGAGAGTAAATGAAAAGAGTCAAAAAAGATATATGTAGCTGTAATGCTTGAGTTATCATCGTTATACATAGATAGTATACATAAATATTTAAATATTTTGCGATGTGTTCTCGTATCTATGTGTGTATATGTAATTAATTGTTTATATAAATCGCGGTTCCTTATATGTTTGAGAGTACGTATGTATGCATATGAATAATTTACAACATTTAACAAACAAAAAAAAAGAAGAAAGTATATAAGTAAGGTATTAAATAAAATTTTACACATAAACGATAAGCTGATCTAACTAAATTGACGAAAATTAACATGAATTATCTCTCATATTTATATTTTTTTGTTGTTGCTACTATTTTTTTTATAGATACTCTTGGCGCATTTTGCAACCGTTATGCACCATTTGATTTGCTGATTTTTTGTTTTTTTAGTGAATTATGTTTCATTATCCTTTTTCTGATTCCATGTGGTGAATTCTATTTTGTTGTCGTAGATACTGTTATAGCCAAAGTTCCATTGTTTCAATTTAATATTTTTTCTAATGCTATCGTTACCAATTCTTCCGACAAAATCCTGAGCCGCAGCACCTGTAGAAAAATTATAAACATACAGTTAGCAATTGCATGGTGATTTGTTATTGTAATAGCAACAATTTTGATGTACGGCATACACGTCGAATTAAAAAACAGGATTGCAAATAATGTAAGTAATGCAATAATTAAAAAGACAACTGAATTAACATGTAAAATATGTTTAATTCCAAATATCGAATTTAAAAATTAAAAATACATTTTTAAACCCACAAATCGGATTAAAAATATGAATTGAAAATATTAGGCCTAAAATTTACTGAAAATGGATTAAAAAAAAGCGTTGGCTTATAATTGAAAATTGTAATAAATGTATTTTTTATATTTTTTAATTATTTCAAGATGGCGTACTGCGTGTTCTACAATTTTTGTTGGTTTATTTTTAATAAAATGTTACGAAAGTTTAGCTCCTCTGTCTTATTTACATTAAGTTACTTTAATAATTAATTATAGCTTTTCAGATAGTAATATGTAAATCTTTCCTTTTTATCATTTTTCATTCCAGCTTTTAATTCGAAAAATATTTTATCAATTTTTAATTGTGATTTTGAAATTAAGATCAAATTTCGAATTTTTGTTTCCGATTTTCGGATTAAATTTCCAATTTCGAATTCTGATTTTAAGAGTAAAAATTAAGTTTTCAATTTTTAATTTAAAATTTTTAAAATAAAAAATTTGCAACACTGTTATGAAGTTAACTCTGCTGTTCGACTTTTGGCCTGATAAAAATAAAGAGTTGTCATTTTTGAAAAAAAAAAATAGCGCTTGAGGAAAAGTTTTGTTTAATAAAAAAAATTATATAATCAAAATATCCTCGATAAAGAAAAATATTAAACTTTCAGCGCTAAAATGGTTGAGTGATCTAAAAATTGTTTTTAATAATTAGTTTCGCTTTAAAAATTCCTATATATAAAACTTAATCAAAGCTTGTGTGTGTCTTACCTTAAAATTGTATTTAATTGAGCGAAGCATTTAACGCGTCAACGGACGTGACACCATGGTGACATGCTTCAATATAGATGGATTTTTGTCGAGGATGCTTGAGAGCGGTTCTGCTGTACTGCCGTCATCGCCGATGTCATTGCCAGTAAACAGGCCATATTCGTTATTGTCGCCGTCGTTATTTTGCTGTTGTAAACCCAACGGTTCAATTGCGGTCAAATGATATTTGCAGGTGATGATCGTTTGATTTCGACCAGCCGCAGTTGCAGTAGAATCGCAACCGAATGCAAAATCTGCGCCACAAAGATTATTGGCCAAATCGGAACATTTCTTGGCAACGGCTGCAGCGGCACCAAAACGCAGCGAAGCATTCAGAAAATTCTGCAAACTTAACTCATTGGCATTGCGCGTGTTATGTAACGACTTCAAGGTATAGCTATTTAAATTGGCGATCTCATTGTTGTTGTTGTTTTGCAATGGTGTGACGCCACCGCCAACCAAGCTGTTGACAGCAGCAACAGCTGCCGTGGCGCTGCTATTTAAATGCGCGTGAAAATAATTTTGTGAGGCCGAATGACGTCGTTTGCGAGTGATTGCCTAAAAGAAAACCAGATTATTAGGGCGGAAGGGAATTACTTGTAATAATTCAAATTAATACCTTGAATTTTAAAGCCGAGTCAACTAGCTGGGCGTTAGCAAGAGCTGCAGCCACTTTGATTTCCTTCTGCTTTTTAAAGTCTTGCGCCAATTGAAAATTGGCAGAGGCCGCTTCCACACTCACATCTGCGTTGGCGCGTAAATTGCGCATATTTTTCTCAGCGATATCGGCTTGCTGCTCATAGGGGTCTACGTTTTTTTCTTCGGTTGCGGCTTGTGGTTTGGCATCATTTATTGTCATAGTGGCGTTTTGTGTCTGTGGTGGTGACGGTGGTGTGGTCTGCCAAATTTTAGCTAAATTCTCGTGCTCCCAACTCATTTGAGTTTGGTATTTATCTACATCAGCCGCAGCGGTTGAAGGGAATATGTTATCCACATTGGCTACAGCAGTCTCAATTGGCTTCACATTAAATTGGCGCAAAAGATGTAAAGGATGCATAGCACCACCAGCACCACCGACACCACCACAACCACTAACACTGTCGCTTTTGCCTAGAACACCACCACCGCCAGCCACAATTAAGCTATTTGTGTTGTCGCCAGCATTCAGTTGCCAAATATTGCGCTCACTGCTATTAGTATGCCACAAATTACCGCTAAATTGTGTTGCTTCAGCTTCCACCTGACGTGACTCATTAACTTTTGCAGAATTGGAATTCAGTTTTTCAATTCGTTTGACGCCATCAGCATTGTTGTTGTCTGGACGCAATAATTCGGCGATGAGACGATTTACTTTTTGTATTACCGTAAATGTCTCGGAATCATTAGAATTGTTGGCAGCACTATCCACAGTGGTAGCAGTTTGATCCAGAGAGTCTGCCTGCTGTAATACGTGCTCTTCATTTAGTTCATTATTTTTATTTGCATTATGCAAACTTGTATTAACGGCACACTCATCCGACACCTCGGCAGTTACATCCTCGGCGCACCAATCGCTGTCGCTAGTTACAGTCTCAGCGCCGCTCTCACCATCAGCGCAAACATCGTCGTCTTCATTCTCATCATCATCATCGGCATCAGCTGCATCGCCAGCACTTCCTATATATAAATCTTGCATGTACTTCAGATCGCTCATTATCTCGTCGGCTTCCACTTGCAGTTCGTCGCGCAATAGCCTATTGGCCGGTATTGATTTTAAATCATTATTACAGGCGGCACACATGCCCCAAACAGACTCTATGCCGCCGCCGTCAACAGCATCATCAGCAGTCATGTGACCGGCTTCTTTGCACTTCTTGCGTATCTCATTCATTGACCACTGCTGCTCTAAACTTGTCATATCTACTTCTGCATGGATAGCGGCCATTCCATCGGGTAACTCAGCAATACTGCCATAAAAATCTACCACATCACAGCCAACGTCATAATCAACATCATCATCATTAATATTGTTGTTTTTAGCATTTTGTTGCAGATTCGGCTGTACTTGGTACACATTCCAGTTGCTGCTAGACGATCGACATTGCCCAACATCAGCTCCCATTGACCACCAAGCGGAATGGTTGCTGGACGACGGCTGCGGCGGCGGGAAGTGTGCCATGGCGCGCGTAAACGCCTCCACAGTGTCGCTATAGACAAGTTCGTTTGCGGCGTTTGCTTTCAAATTTTTCGCCGCATTTGAAAATATTAAACTTATTGGATGCGGTTGTGCTGTTTTTGTTGATGTCGATGCATTCATGGCAACGCTGCGTTTGTTGACGCTGACTAGCGCACGTGCAGTTGGCGGCTCTGGATCCGTTTGGCAAGCGATTTCAGTGCGTTGCAAACGGAATTTTATGACGAAATCACGCTCGACTCGCATTACTTTGCTGCTGTGGCAAGTGGAGTTGGCCTTGGCGCTAGCTGTGGCTGCCTCACAATTCGAATTGGCATACAAGGGGTTGGCTGAGGCACCAATGCCCCCATCATCTTCCACCATAAAATTGTCGGTGCGTGTATACTCGAGATATTTCTCTTCTTCGTAGTACAAATAACCGCTGGCCGAACGTTCGTAATCGATAATATCCAATTCACTGCAAATATCGAATGTGTGCCCATCCATATATGATTTAATGGGATGGAAATGTGTGCGTTCGGATGTCAGTAGATTTTCGCCATCATCTATCACATCGAGTGCATAACGTTGCTGTTGTTCTTTGCTATTCGTACGTGGTGGGTAATTTCGCAGCTGCTGCTTAGCTGCAGCATCGTTCATGGCATTGCTATCATCCGACAATTGCAACTTTAAAACCGCTTTAATGCGTGAATATGCAACGAAACCACTGCCTGTGGTCGAGTGATTCACGAGCGTAATTTTCGGTGCTGCCATGCTGTCAGTGTCACGTGCTGCATTTGTGTCGCGCATTTGCTCGGCAGACCAATCATTTTTAGCATCACTTTTGGGTAGGTGATGCCAATTTGAGGCACCTGGTGTACATGCGCCCGAGGAAGATGAATCCGTGCAATCGGTTGGGTTCAATGCAAGATGAAAACTATTATTTTGACTTCCGCACTGTTGCTTATGCTGTAGAAGTGGTGTTGATACATTGCCTTGTGGCGGTCCAGCATTTATGCCTTCCGACCACTTAGAAGCTGAGTAGGGCGCGGAAAAGGCAAAGCTACTGCCATTGTTTACATTTATGCCACTGGCTGTGGCATCGCATTGCAATGCTTCTTCACGATTGTTGTCGTCATATGCGTTGAGATGATTGCCGGAGTTATGGACTTTGAAGTAGAAGGTTTCATCTGAATCACCACCGCCAAAATTTGCACTCTCTGACCAAATCGAGTTTTGTAGAAAGAGTGCTACCGGTGTTTTGCGCTCTTCTCCAATTGTGCCACCAGCTCTACGCGCACCCAAACCGTTGCCACTGTCACTGCAGCCGCTATTGTGACGTAAGCTAGAACGTTGCGATTTGGCTTTCTCAATTTCCTCCAAATTGCTCGGCATTGAGTAGTAGTCACTTGTGGGACCACCAGCTATGTGAGCATCAGCTTGTTGCGCGTTGGAGAAATTATTAATCTCACTAATACCACCACCGTTTGACTGAAAATTTAGAAAAAATTTAACAAAATATTATTGAGAAAGTTTCATTGGAGTAACATAAAATCGTTTTTTTTTTAATTCCACCCGAAATACTACGTCGTACTCACCTTGAAAGCAGCTTCACCCTTATCTTTTGCTTTATTTTGCATCAATGCATCTAGTTCTTTGGCTTTTTCGCCAATTACACTTGTCGGCAGCATTTTGCTTAAGTCAAAATGATGATTGTAGTAATTAGACCAAAAGTTTTTTAAATTTCTTGAAAATGGCGCTTCGATCGGTAACGAGGTAGGTCCACTGCCAAAGTTTAAAATATTCAATTTATTACCATCACCAAATGGACTGAATCCCTTCTCCTCACAGCGGTCAGCATCTTTCCATAAAGCTTCGACGCTACTATTGAATTTTGCTTCGAATTGTGCAAAATCGGATTGTACATTGGATTTCGTATCTTTTGGTAACAATTCGCGCTCATAAAGACGCTTAGCGTTGGCAGGTGGTGGCACGGCGCAAGCACTCTCACTAGTTGCTAGCATTGCCAAGGGTCCATCATTGGTCAGTTCGGACACAGAAGCGAGTGTATCGTCAAAATCATCATAGTCGCAGAAGGAGATATCGACTAGTGGCAATGTGGGCGTAACAGCTTTGTTGGCGTTCATTTTCTCACCCTCAGTAGTAGGCTTGTTTTCATCCAAACGCTCTTCAATTGGTTGCTGCTCGGCGTTTGTAGCTACTTCGCAATTATCAACAGCACCGTCTTTAGCGGCTGCTACTGCGGTCGCACTCTGCTTATTGTACGAAACGGCGCTCTCGGAAGTGCTGCGGTTACGTGAATTACGATTTTGACTCGCTATGAATTCTTTAATTAAATCACGACCCATCTCCCAACAGCCCTCGAAATCGGTATCCCAACAGCTGGGCGATAGATTGCGCTTGTTTTTACCGCTACTTGCTTGTGAACGATTATTGCCAGCATTATTGGAGTCAGAGTTGTTTCCGCCAACAGGATTCTTGCGTGATAAAGCTAAAATGTAGCAAACAAAATTATTATTAAGTAGGATTCTTCAATTCCTCAAATTAATTTGAACAATGACAGTTTTTGCCATCTTACACTTACCACGACTGCGGCGACGTTTGGAATTTCGTTTTATAGCACCGCTGCCACTAGCATAACCAGCGGCGTTAGCGCTGCAATTAGCTTCGTCATCATCGATTTCATCATTCTCATCCACTATGTCATCGCACAACTCTGCTCCAGACACTTTAGCTGTATTTTCCGTATTCTCCACCGTATCTTTCATCATTGCATCTTCTTCTCCCTCTTTAATATTTCTCTGTGTATTAGCGTGTGTTGGGGCTGCTTGGTTGCCATCTTCAGCATCGGAATTACTAGACATTGTCGAGCTGGCGCTACTAGTAGAAGCGTTTTTCTTACCGTCGTCTTTGGGCTTATCAGTAGGCCATAACAGCCACTTGGAAGGGTGGCGCCAGCGGGGAGCTATATCACCCATTTGTTTCGAAAGTGCTGGAAAAGCGCGCCAATATTCTCGTTCACGTTCGTGCAATTTTTTGGCACTTGTTGATGTTCCAGCTGCTTCGGCGGACCTACTGCTCTCGGCTGCACAACTCGCTCTGCAACTTTTACTATTGGCTGGCACTTCTCTTCTCTGCTGCGATCTGTTATAACGGTGGGTGATGGAAAGCGTTGCTACTGGAAGCTTATCGTCATCTTCACTATCGCTGGATTGCTTCTCAATGTCTTTAAGTCTTTCGAAGAGCTCTTCGACGAGGTTCTCAATAGATGCGATCTGAAAGATTATATAATTTAATAAAATTAATATTTGAATACGTTGTATTCGTTATAACTAAAATTTTTCGCACTTCGAAATTTTCGGAAAATTAATTTTTTTTTCAAATAATTTTTACTTAGAAAATTCAAAAGGGATTAGTTAAGATTCTTCGCTTAAAAGGAATATACAATAGATAGGGCATTTTAAATTAGATATATTTGATTTTGATTAAGTTTGCCACGAAGTTTGTAACACCCAGAAGGAAACATTACTATAAATATACTATATATAGCCCCTCAGTTTTTGAGGCATCGATCTGAAATTTTGCACATATACTTTTCTCCTCAAGAAGCTGCTCATTTATTGGAACCGTCAATCTCTATATATCGAACTGCTATAGCATTATAGCTATCATGCAAACTGATCGATCAAAACCAAGTCCTTGTATGGAAACTTTTTTATTTTACAAGATGTTTTCACAAAATATTGCCTAAGGCAATGGTACAATCTCCGAACAAATTGCTCAAATCGGATCACTATAACATATAGCTGCCATACAAACTGATCAAAAAAATCAATTTCTTGTATGGAAATTTTTTTTTTTATCTATGATGGGTATTATAGCTCCGGTGCAACTGAAGTTAACTTTTTTCTTGTTTTTAATATTTTCTTTTTATTTTATTAGTGTATTACATACCTCCTGGTCTGACGAAACGATGTTCTTTATACACTGCACAGCATTAAATTTCTTTAGTTCGTCAATATCACACTCTCGGTAACGCCTACTGCCTCCTTTGCGACTCGCAAGAAATGACTGGAATATCGGTTAAAATAAGATTAGTATAGGTCTAATTTTACTAACTAAAATATAGGGTATTTTCGCCGGCAATGGATAGGTGTTAAAGGATTTATAATGAACTTAATTAATAAATATCAAATATGTCTTAAGAAAATTTCAATAAATCTCCAAATTTATGTATACATAAATACATAACTGTATTTTCAATATTTAGCATTTTTTAAATCACAATATTTAAAAATTTTGAAAAACAAAATATAAATTTGGCAAATCCTTTAACTGAACCATATTAGCACCATGTAAAACCCTGTAAAAAAAATAATTTGAAATCAAATCGATACTTTCAGCTATATGCTCAATAAATGCAGTGCATAAGTTTTTTGTACTTTTTAAAACATCGTTTTTTTTGGTTTTCATAAATGAATATGAATTTTTTTAAAGCTCAAAGTATCGATTGGAAGCACAAAAATGTTAACTTAAAAAAATCTTTTAATTACTTCTAAGTTGCTGAATTCAATTGGATCATTTAGTTGTACAGTCGATTGTAATAGTGATAGAAGAAGTCTAGTATAAATATGTGGTGCCTCAACGCCTAACTGCTCCAAACGGGCTACTAGCCAATCAGATATGGCGTTTACCGCACGCGTCGACACAAGTTGTGGATACTTCATACCTATTTGAAATATTTTTTTTTTGGTTTGATGTTTGTAGTCGTTTTGTTTTAATTAAAAAAATTAAAGAGAAAAAGAAATATAGTAAAAAAAATTTAGTATCACTTGAATATATGTATAATTCTTTGCAATACGAGCATATACATTTAAAATGGTTTTGCACATTGTGCTTAAGAATTTGCTAGTCCAAATATTTTTTTAACTAAATATAAAAACACTAATGAAAAAAAACACTTCAAAACTACGATTAGAAATTAAACATTAAAACAGTGTGTTAGAAAATAATGTTAGCAGCCAAGTGAATTAAACGAGCCATACTTTTATAACCTGAACAGGGTATATTAAGTTTGCCCCGAAGTTTGTAACACCCGGGAGGAAATGTCGGATACCCTATAAAATATATATATAAACATAATATGATCAGCGTGGCGAGCCATATCCGTCTGCTTGTCTGTAAATACATGAACTTGTCCCTCAGTTTTTAAGATAAATATCACACTTTTTTGTTTTCAAGAAGCTGCTCATTTGTCGGAACCGCTGATATCGGTATAGCATATATCTGCCATACAAACTGACCAATCAAAATTAATTTATTTGACAAGATATCTTCTCGAAATGTAACATGAATTATTGTTCAAGATATCGGGACCATATCCGAAACACTTGCTTAGATAGCACACTATAGCTGCCATACAAACTTATCGATAAAATTAAGTTCTTCTTCTAACCTCAGTACATATATGTATAGGCTTTTTAGGCTAATCACATTTTGAATGTAAAAGACATATGGAGTATGTATATAGCTGGTATGTGAGATACGGATATATTAATATGCTCTTTACGAATTTCGAAATAACTTTCTTTGACTGCACATTGTCGCACAAATTTACTATACCCTAATTATACATGTCTAGCTACGAACCCAAGTTAGGAACAAACCAAAAAAACCGAACTACTTTCATTTACTCAAAACATGCGTGAAAAACAAAAAAAAAAAAAAAACATGAATTAGTAATGTGGCCAATACAATATCTGCTAGAAGCAGAAGAATTGGATAAGTTCCTCTCAAATTTACAGCAGCATATTGATATTGCTGTGCAAATCACTCAATTATAGTGTGAAAAATCGAATTACGAAACGGACACGCGGAAACCACAAAATGAGCTGAGCCTACAATTACCGACGCCTGCTTTTATATGCCACACTATTTTCATACACATCAAATTACTAGTTAACAAATCTACATGCATACATACAAACACACAGATATATACATAGCTATATGCATGTATGTAAAATATGTTGCTATTGTATGTATGTGTTTTTGTTGTTGTACACGTTGAGGTCCACTGCAATTTTGTTTATATACAAATTTCTTTGCATTGTTGTTGTTAATTAAAACCAAACTTCTCAATTCACTAACAATCGAACGTAAACTTAAGTAAAAAAGCTTATAGAAATAAAATGAATTTAAAACGATGAAAAACTAAACGAAAGTAATTTTGCTTTAATTCTATATGTAAGCGCACGAAGGCAGAAGAAAAGCAAAATCAATGTAGCAATTCAACTTATGCTCTAGAAGTACATACTCCATTTTTAAATAGTATAAACAAAATACATTTAATATGATAAATAAATAGAAAATGTTAATAAATTTTGAAAAAATAAAATAAATTAAATGGCATTGGACCCTAGCGTTGTCATACATTGTGGTATATAATATAGTTATTATTAATAACAATTATTAGTAAAAACTACCTCAAAAGTGTATAAAAACAATTATAAACAAATCACTACTATTTCATAATTAAATTTGTATGCTACTTCTGGTACTACTGGCACAAATAAACTAAAAAATAAAAATAGTGATAAAATGCAAACATGTGCGCATACCTATAGCTTTTCACTCAAGGATTCAAGTGGAAATGCACGAATTAGCCACGAAACACACAAGTGATCAGTGATGAAACGTTCAATCGTTGGAAGTGTTGGTGCCACAAAGGATGCAATTAACTAGTGACTGATATACGATTACGTAGAAATTAGCACATTACTTTTTGCGTAAGACGTTGTCAAACGCTGAGAGATGTTTACGATTTACTATGTAGCGTGGCTACTGCTGCGACGGCGGCGGCAACGGCGGTGATGACAACAGCTGTTAATGCGACAATTGCTGGCGGCCACCAGGCGACAACTGCAATTTGCATTTGAGCAATAATCACTGTTGTCTCGCGCTGCCGCTGTTGCTAACTACACTAGTTGTTGTTGATGGCTGCACAATGCCTCCCTGCACCAGTCGTCGTCGTTATCTCAATGATGTGCTGAAATAGTCGATAATTGTTGTTGTTGTGGTTGTTGTAATGAACACAATTTATCGCATGAAATTTAAACATTTTTTGGTGCAACCTCCGATGCGTGGATAACAATGCACAACGCTGCGGACAACATGTTTACAAAGGTTTGCATTTGTTGTTGACAGACTGCCGTGTGGTCGCAAAATGTTGCAAACATATTTAAGTAAATTTCTCTATTTTATACATCATGGCTAATGTATGCATGTATGTACGTGTCTACGAAACTACAATGGTGGTACAACAACACAATTATGCTTTGTTGTTCTTTTTGTTTTTACTTAGAATTGTTAGTAATCAATCTACTTTTCTACTGGAGATTTTGTTTGAAATTCTTTGGTTTTGAATTTGCGGTTTATATTTTCTTGTTGTAGTGTTATTATGCAAGTTTCAGATTTTTTACGCGATTTTAATTTTTTTTATTTACTTTTATTATTTATTTAATTAATTTTAATTTTTATAGTATTTTCTCTTTTATTTTATTATTTATATAATTTATTAAGTATTTTTTCAAATTATAACTCCAAACAAATGGGTGCGTTCAGTTGTCGTCAATATATTATTTTCGCCGAATAGTGTTTTCTTGAATGTGAACTAAATCAATTGACAGTAAAAGCAATTAAAACGCTTATGACGAGAATGGATAAACAGAAAACTTTAAATCTTTTTGTTTTGTTTTGATTTGTTTTTGGTGTGACACCTTTCACAAATTATATCAAAATCATTATATGTTGTTGTTGTTGTTGTTGTGGTGTGCCTGTGCGCGCTCCTCTGTCTTGATTGGGATTTGGCTATGTTGCCGTTTACAGGTTATGTTCTCAAATTGCTGGCATTTGGTGGTGACGAATAATTAAACATCGTCGCATAGGTGCAACATGTAGTAAACGAGTGTTGTTGTTATTTTATGATTGAAACTGCTAAATTTTACTGTTGTGCACTCTGTTGTGTTGCAATCTTATTCAGTTTACCGCGTTACACAGGTTTTTATCGTTTTGTTTGTTGAATTAATTGAAATATGCTTTAAATTAACGGTTATTTTGTGTTGTTAAATTATTTAAAAGCAGGATTTTAATATATATGTTTTTAAATTATTTTGTTCTCGCTGACTTCTTTTAGTCTAATGTATTATTTTTATTTGTTTGTTGTTGTGGAGTGTTTATGGGGGCGTGCGTGTTTTCCGTTTGGATAAGGCTGGACTGCTGCTGTTGATTCTCTGCTTTTTGTCGGTTTTAAGTTGCGCATAAAACTTAAGCTTTTGTTTTCTTAACTCCTGTTGATCTTTGCTCGTTGGCCGGCGGTTTGGGGGTTTGCTGGGGTGGTGCTGGTTATCGTCGTCGTTGTCGTCGTTCCGTGGTGTGGGCGTGACTTTTGCGTAATGCAATTATGTTAATTGCTGCTGCTTTTTCTCCTGCTTCTGCTGCTGTTGATTGATTTCAACTGCATTTAGTAATCCATTTTGCTTTTTATTTGAGTGTTATGGAACTGAATTCTCATCGGAATTATTCCACACTTGTCTAAGGTGTTTATTATTCTGAAAATTAATCAAAAAAGAGGAATAGATTAGTATAAAGAATATTGTGTGGTTGTTAAATGAAACTAAAAAATAAAAATTTTAAATATTTAGAAAATTTCAATTACATGTGTAAAAAAAATGTTTTTACTGGAAAACAAAAACAACTTGCCAGTTAAATATATTATCGTTTAATTGAATTGAATTTTGATGGTGAAATTTATTCAGATGAAAATAACATCGAAGGGAGAATCAAGGATATTGTGAACTATTGACTAAATTCAATATATTATAAAGCTGCGTTGTTCTGTTACATTTAAACCAACTGTCAATGCACATATAATAAAATAAAAAGTGGCTTAAGATCATGTACAATTTATAAAATAATTTTAATTAAGAATGCACAAAATAAATAAGATTCCTCAAATGAATTATAAATTTCAAAATGTGCAAAAAATTTAATAAATTGTATAAATCGTTCACTGACAAAATTTAAAAACTAATTAAAAGTAAAAATAAAAACTATCTAATCAAGTCAAAAAAATTTCAAATTTCAAAAATAATTCGTATTGCGCCTAAAGGATGCCAAAAAAAAAAATAGACAGTTAAATTAATGATTTATCTTAGCTGTTTATATATACACATATACATATGTATTCCTAAATATATATAATAAACATTTTAGTTGTTGTTCCTACGCTTTAAGCTTAGTTTGCTTTCATTATGCACCTATTAAAGCACAACTCGCTCAGTTCTTTAATGCACAACAAGCAATCATATGATTTGTTACGATAGCAATATTATTTGTACACATATATGCATATGTACATATGTGTTATATAATATATAGCCGCTAATATAATTGGGCCAATGCATAAAAAATCAACACAATTAATTTCGACACTTAAATACAGTTTTATTTAACCATATTATACTTTATAGGTTAACACATACACCCAAGCACATACAAACATTAATAAATATGAGAATGTGTACATAAAGACTTGATTATTTATAAGCTAATAAGTATGTATGTATATAAGATGTCTAGTCATAAGTATGTGTACATATAAACGTTTAAGTACAACTGTTGTCCTACACTTGTTGCTTCAGCTGATAAAATATTATAAATTATTTGTATGTATGTATGTACATATGCACTCATTATTAAAATGAGAACTTGTTGTATGTACATATTTATGTTTGAACACATGTATATTGCGGCAAATATATGCATTATGTATGGACTTTCAAAAATTAAAAAAAAAATACAATTCTGATTTAAAAAGAAAAATAAAATAATATACTAAATTCAATATTCAAAGCAAATAAAAGGCACTCACATATTTGTACATACATACATATATCAGCGACATAAAAATTAATGTAAACGGTACATCGATTATGCATTGCCATTGATCATTGAAACTAACTAACTGCATCGGGGGTACAAAGTGCAGGCAACGGAGCATTGTTTTTGTTTTTACTCTGCACCGATTTAACATATATATTTCAGATAAGGCGATTTAAAATGAATTCAATACAAATTAAATACTAAATAAAAATTAAGCTCAAAATCAACAAATTAATGAGCGGAATAAGTGAATTAGTTGATTTTTACAAACAAACTGAAATATGTGCACAAGGCAACAACAACAAAACTGTTGCTAGGCCAAATACTCATAAATGAAAGAAAAGTTGTAAAGAGATAAAAATGTTTAAAAATAAAATCCATTGTAGAAACGTGAAACAACAACACAAGAGTGTGTACAAGCACACACACATACATATCTACTTAGAAGCCATTCAAGAGGCAGTGAATCATCAGCAAGCATTATTTTGCAAAAAAAACAAGCGACAAGTGTGGAAAAAATGAGCAAGTGAAAAATAAAAACTACCAAAAAGAAAACAAAATTAACAACAAAAGTTTCTAATAAGACAATGAATTGAAGGTGAAAGAATTGTGCTAATATAGCGCTGGACTGTAATTATTAGCTGCAAACAATAGACGATAAAAAAACACTAAATAAAATCAGAAATTGAATATTTGCTATGCTTAGATGTATGTACTCCAAACTGAATTATCTTTACGGTTTGTGCTTTGACGGAAATTGTGATGTCATTGCTGGCGTAAAGAATGGAAACAAATGCGGTTATGTAAATATCAATTAAGAGGCATTGGATGACAATCGTCAAATGACAAAGGTGATGCACTCGAAAAATAACAACAATAATAATAATAGCAGAGCTTAAAGAAGAAGAGCCTCCCGTGTTGCAAAATTACACATAAAAAAATTAAATTTTTATATCTTCTGCTATTTTGGGTATTCTAGCCTTTAACTACGACAACAAAAACAGGTACTACACAATACAGATTTATTGTTGTCTATATTTAGCAAACTAATGCCAAGTGACATCAGTTGTATGCCATTACATACATATATTTGTATATGTACTCGTATTTTCAAATTCTAGCAAATACTAGTTATTTCACTGAACATTTGTAAAGGCAATAAAAACAAATTTTAGTAAGATGCATATGTAACAAACAGACAATTTTTATTACCGATGTTGAGCTTAAAGAAAAGAAAAAGTATTTTCAAAGGTATTATTAGTAAGACAGAAATATATGGAACAGTTTTTGAAATAAACTTACTTTTACTATGTTCTTTAATATCACATATCTATTTCTTGTTGCCTACATTACGGCGCGAAAAAAGTAAACGATTTTTTATGGTTTTAGAATGAAATCGCTAAATTTATTTATTAAGTTTTAATTTTAAAATTTATTATTAAATTTAATTATTATAAGCCGCCTATTTTTGTAAATTTGAAAGCAAACTTATTCCAAATAAAGTAGCTTTCGAATATAAATTAATTGTGACTAAATTAAAAACTATTACAATAAAGAAATGGCAGGTGGTAGTCACAAACATTTACAAATATACACGCACACAGACACATTCACACAATGTAAAATACAATTGCATTCGCCGACAAAGAAATATTCGTTTGTATGCTAATGTGTAGATGCCACGCCCACAGTGCAAGCTCGCACCGATGCACAAAACACTGTCTTCAACATTGAAAGTCAAAGTTACTATGCACTATTTTATTGAGTTTTCAAACATTTAATTGGGTCACTGGGGGTGCACGTTAAGCAGCAGAAGCCACATGTCTGTATGTGTGTACCCACCAACCAGGCTGTCGTCACATCCAGCCCCAACGAATATTTAACTGAACTTTCCACAAAAAAATCAAATAATAGTGTTAGCAAAAGTAGCAATAATAATATGATAATACGGTAGTTGGTGGCACGCCTGTCGCGCAGCAGATTGGAAACGATAAAAAAAGCCTAACCGTCGCTACGGGAAAGCACAACTCCAAAACGGGTCGCAACCCAATTTTACTAACTTAGCACTACTCTACTGCCTGTCATCAGCTGCTGCCAACACAATGTGAGTTCATATGCATGGCTTTTACACGGGACGACACATGGGCTGTTCACGAGCACACTTAAGTATGGGGTGGTCCAACCCTGGTATGTGGGAAGGTGTAATATGCATGAGTAGTAAAACAGCAAAACTCACGACGTTTATAAGCGAATGTTTGGAAAAAAGCTCTGCAACAACGAAAGTTTTCAGTAATGAAAACGAATGCACAAAAAAAATCAAATTGCACCTCGCCTTCAAGCCGTTATGAATCACGAACACCACACGAAACACTGAAAGCAAATGCAAACGTTTGCAACGCCAGCGACTAGCTACTGACGACGTGACGCGAACCAGTCACATACGCTGGTACGTACATACGAATGCACGCGATGGCGACACAAAAGCAAAAGCAAACAACAAACATTTTGCAAATCATCTGCTCTTTGGAGATTGTATCAACGTTGATACAGAATTGCATGAAACAGTTAGCATGTAGTATGTACGTTAAAGCGGATCGATTTCTTTCCTAAAAAATCGCGTATGCGAGAAATGTTTAAAGGACCATTCTGAACAACTTTGTCTAAGAGAATATGCTTCAAAAACCGGATTTAAGGCAGCGATTTTTTAGGTGAAGTTTAATTTTTCGGGATTATAAAAATTTCTTCGTCAGTTTTTGAGATATCCGAATGAAATTTAGGGAAAACTTTAGTATACCGTCCCAGGCTTTCGGGGATAAAATGGGTATGGGATAGAGGAGATCCTCCAGATCAAGAATGTATGTATATAGATATAGCCGCGGGAAACATATAGTTTTCGAGATATTTACGTCTAAAGTTGAAAATTTCAACTATTTAAAGTACGCATTTTTTCGATTTTAAATGAATTATACACTTATATTTTTCACTTTTATATCCACTAATTCGTTTTCACACATTTATTTTACATTATATATACAAAAATAGTTTAATTCAATATTTAAATTATTGTTAAGAGGTTGCAAAATGTCAAATAACCAGTGTTACCTTATCGACATCTTTTGAAATTGTAACTGAATACACCAAATACAGGAATTCAAAATCTAGAAGAATAAACTATTAGAGAGCATTGATGTTAAGTATTATGTTATACCTATGACAATATTACTTTTTCTTGTACAACTTTTTTTTGCGTTGGCGTTCGGCCGCGCTTCAAAAAAAACAATAACTCTGGTCGGTCCAACACTGGGGTGTACCAAAGTCTTTTCGCGTAGAAATTCTTTTTGCGTTAGAGGCCTTCGGCCGCGCTTCAAAAAAAAATAACCCTGGTCGGTTCAACACCGGGGTGTACCAAAGTATTATCGCGCAGAACTTCTTTTTGCGTTGGCTACTGTATCTAGGGTATTCCCCTGCGGGTAGGGGTAAGAATTTACCCGCGGTAAGGCATGCCTGTCGTAAAAGGCGACTAAAAGCCAAATGCACTATGACTGTTATTATGTACCTTGCTCAGTAATAGCATAGTATGTCAGAAATAGTGCTATAATACTCAGCTTGAACTGATATTATAGACTTTAAATGAAAAAGCAAATAAAAAGACATTTGAAGTTCAAACGACAAATGTCACCAGTCATTGAGTAATGGGTTGCTCAACTGGCAGTAGTTTCGGCTACGCAGTCTTACCGGAGACTTTCTGGTACCACGGGGAGCAGAAAGCCCTTGGACTTCGGTCCAATCTGCTCATTGGGTTATGGCCCCTTTGGGGAGATTCGTAGTGGTTGTGGTTGAAACCTAAATGCAGAAAGAACTGAAAATTCAGCCTAACTGTTTTTTCAGTTCTAAAATAAAGTTGCAAAAAGCAACTGGGTTCCGTACCCGAAAACCGAAGAGGTTTTAGGTCGGCCTCGAAAATTATAAGTTTCCCTCGGCTATTCTTGATCTAGAGGATCTCCTCTATCCGCCCATACCCATTTTATCCCCGAAAGCCTGGGACGATATACTAAAGCCGACCCGAAATTTAATACATAGATGCATTTTGGTATTCTATTGATCATCCGTCAGAATCGGCTAGGTCAACTGTCGAAATGCTATAAATTAAATTTCATTCGGATATCTCAAAAACAGACGAAGAAATTTATTCTCTTAGGCCAAGTTGTTCAGAATGATCCGTAGAACATTTCCCGCATACACAATTTTCCCGTTTTTTTTTGGCTCCCTGTAAATCAACCCGCTCTAGTGTACATATGTATGATATTAGTCTGTGACTAGTAAAAGCAAAACTGAAGAAAAAACCCAAAATAATACAATAACAAAACACAAAAACGCAAAACATTAGTTTTCACTCATTTTTTGCGGCTACTTCTCTTCATCGTTGCATTTGCGGGCATAGCGTAAGCCTAGGAAGTCAGCAGGCAGCTAAACAGCTGTGCTCACAGCCAGCCAACCCAGGAGTGTGGCACAATGTGCAAAAATGTGCTCGTGCGTTATGCACAAATTCGCAGCTGCAATTACGGCTACGACGACGACGGCCAGAGTTGCATACGAACGAGTTACGTATGTACATATATATATATTATATGCATGTGCATAAGTTGCAATTATGGTAAATATACAAATGCCGAGTGAGGCTGTGAGATATTGTCGCAAAGATAGGCATTCATGCATACATATTTACATACATATATAAAGTATGTATGTAACAACATACCTGCATTCAAGTAAATTAACAGCATTTGTCAATATATATGTACATACTTATATATTATGTTCACAATAGTAGTAAAAAGGAGTGGGAAACAACATTTGTAACTTGGTATGAGAGAGAGAGATAACGAGAATACAAGCGTTAGAGAGCAAACGACGAACAGCCAGCAAACAGCAAAAATGTACAAGAAATGGAAGTGAAAATGAAAACCGAAAAGGAAAATGAAGGCGATAAAAATGAAAATGTAAAAAATTGCAAGGTAAGCCAGTATCATGCAACAACTGTAGCATAACTATGCATACATATAAGCAAGAGTTCTGCTATCAGTGCGCAGCAGTCGCAACAACAACGCGCTACAAATACACACACATATGAGCGTATGAGGAATTGCATGCTCGTTGTTGCAAGTGCACATGCTAATCTATTTATTTCCACAAGTTTTCACATACACACACGCTTACTAGCGCACATACATATGTATACATTTATTTACCCGATGAAATAACAATATTTTATATACTTGTTTGTTAGATAGCAAGGGTAAATGAAGTAACGTGATTTATACTGTGTTCCCACGACTTGCGATCCTAAGACTGCAGACATAGTGCAACGAATAATAGTGCAGTTGACCGGTATAAGTCATTTGTCACACAATTGGATCCCTTTTGATTAGAATATATATAACGATATAACTTCGCTAAATTCGAAAATATTTAATCCTAAATACCGGATTGAAAAAAATGTTAATCCCAAGAATCCCAGGAATATATGCTAAAGCAAATTTAAAAAACATAATTTTAAAAGTATTGAAAAATGAAATAAACAAAAGTTTTAATTGCCAAAATTGTGAACATTTTGAGTAAATAATGTCAAAATAAAAACATACAAAACTTGTTGGCTACTTTTAGGAATGTGAAATATGCTCCAATCCAGCCACAGAAGTACGTCATAATTTTAACATTTTTATTAAAAGCAAAAATTATAATAAACAAAATAAAATATATTTCCAATGTTTCGAGGAAAGTTTATTATTTAGACCTAAGTTTGGCGAAGATGTCATGAACTAAATAAAGATAATGAGAGTAAGAAAAAATAAGAAGGAAAAATACTAACCTTAAAATTGTGTTGAAAATGTAATGTGAATTTATTTAATTTTTTTTATATAAAATTTAAAAATTTATAAAATTAAATAAATATTCGTTCGCACAAATTGCTGATTATAAAAAATTATGATAACGAATTTTTACTAATAATACAAAGAAAAAATTTTCGCTAACCCAAAAACACAGTGCATGCCATAGCACTTAAATTATAATTGAAATGTGAGATTGTATTGCTTAATAAATAAATTATAAAACATATATGTACATATGAATATACAAGTTATTTGCATAAAAACCAATAAATGTTGTAATCAGGTGAAAAAGTGTGAGAACAAACATGTTTGACGGCACCAACGTCACTTATCGAAAACGTATGTAAGTGTATACAGTCGATTATTTATGAGATAAACAAAAGCTTATCTTAAAACTAATTTCGTTTGTAGGAAATTTTGCACATATTACATACGTGTACAAATATATATAAAGCACTTATGTGGCAATGATTAGTATATTGACCAACTGATAATGTCTAATGCGAGTAAGCAATGAGAAATGTATATAACATAACCTAGAAATCGAAAAACTGACAAGATCGGAAATTAGAGCAATACGAACAGCTGATGTGCTAATGGAATGTAAAAACTATAGTGTTAAGCTATAGCCGATTGCAAAGATGGATTAAAATTTATAACAAATTATATTATTAGATCAGATGACTAGTGAGCAGGAAAAAGTTAATGAAGCGCATAAGTGAGCAACAACAAGTGTGACGGATGCAATGTGACGTACAAAATGGGCGATTGCAAATATTAAAGGTTAGAGATGCATAAAAAATTAAGTTTGTATGTAAGCATATGAAAACAAACCAAATTAAATTTGTGAATTGCAAAAACTAAAACAAAATTTAATGACAAAAAGAGCAAAAGTAAAATAGGCGCACAAAAATGATGAGAGTGTTTGAGTAATGGAAAAGACGATGAGAGCGCAACACAGGTGAGATTATATGTATGTAAGCATATAGCGAGTGTGCTGAGAAAAACCGAGCGTGAGCGCAGTAAGGAAATTCAAATCAAAAAGCAAACACTGTAGGAAGGTGGAATGCATTCGCACATACATACATGTATACATTTGTATATATGTATGTATATGTGCATACGTTTCAACCATACTGCAGTGTAAGCCCAATCCCTTGTTGGTGCGCCGCCCGCCAATTGTTTGTGGCTATGATTTTTCTGATTTTCTTTTTAAGTTTATTTTTTTATTTAATTATTTTGAGCTGCACAAGCATCCAAGCGTACTTTTGTATATACATACATATTTGCTGCCCACCAGAACACATGACAACGAGTATTACGTCAAATAACAAAAAACAAAACACAATTCGATTAGCGGTTTATGCACGATGAACAGCAACAAAAATTACAACGGAAGGAAATATGATTTTACGATCATACGGGAGAATTATTACAATTGCTTTTGACAATTATGATTATTTGTTGATTGATTTATTTTCAATTACTATTTATATGTATGCATGTAGAGTATAGTATACTGTATGTACTTGCCATCATCAAAAGCTTACGTACTTTTATTCGTACATCATCGTTACGTTGTCGTTGTTATCGTTAGTCCATCAACTGAGCGTATTTTTTCTTTCTTGTATCTGTATGTATGTATGACTGGAAATATGGGCGTGTATGCACGCGTCTGTTTGTGTAGGTATGTGTGTGAGTCAAACTTTCAGCTGATTGCGAGTTTTCTGATCGCTTCAAACAACTGTTCGCTCGCGCGCTCGTTGTGACTCGTAGAACGGTGTTTGCTATTGTTGTTACTTGGCCTAAAAACGTTGTGTGTTGATAGCGATGATGTCGTCGTATCATATATATGTAGACATGTACATACATATATTTGGTCGTTGTGGTTCGTATTCGTTTTGGTCGTATATTTTCGCAGTTGAATAATTGAAATTCACAATTTATCTAATTTTCATTTAATATTAAAATTATTTATAAATGACACTTTTTTAAATTTAGAAATTGTCTATTTTTTAATTTATTCTTTTTGTTTTAGCTGTTAAATATTTATTTTCGTATAATTATTACATAAAATTAGCACATTGCCATTTAACGCGCGTTTCTTGATGCTTTATCTAAATTTATTTTTATATTTTTACGCTTGCGTTCTGTTTGGCACTCGTCACAGCTTTTCGCCGATTTTCCGCTTCGATTCTCCAATACTACGACTACACGCAGCAGTTGTAGTTGTTGTGGCAGCGCGTTTTCTATTTTATTGATTTTCAAACATTTTTAGTTCATTAATTAGCACAGGGTCAGGGGGTTAGTCGTTAGTTTTTAAGTTAATGTGGAAATAGAAAAGTTACAAAGAAAATAGTAAAGAGAATTATATAGAGTAAAATAAAAAGCTTCAATACTTAGTTACAAATAAGAAAAAAAAAATTAAATAAAGGAAAAATGATATCACACCTTTAAAACAAACACGCTTCACCGAAAATAACACTAGAACCGTAGCAAAGAACGCTCCCAGATTGACTATCAGCCACACGCTAGAACTCAACAAGCAAGCAAAATTAAAATTGTGCTCTTACGCTTCCGCAAGTGCTTTTTATATTTTGCCTATTTTTTGTTTGCTTCTTCTACTTTACACAAAACTATTATTTGTACTCAATTTTTCGCCAACATGTAGCTTTTATTTAAATTTAATTTTTTCCACTTGGTTATTTATTTCGATATAAATCGTCACACACACAAATAGATATATCTAAACGCACTGTAAGCACAATCAAGCACAAAAGGCAAAGCGCACCAAATAAATAAACACTGTGAAAACACAATGTTCGCTTATTCCGCGGCAATTTTTAATAAAACATACTCGGTAAGTATGTGTGCAGTTCGTTTATCACTTGATAGTGGATGATGACGGCAATGCAAAGAACGCGCGTATGCGGGTTTCCTTCAACACGGCGCGTAACCCACTAACGGCTGATTGAATGGTGTGCTGCTGTTGTTCCGGCGGGAGCGCACACAACGGCCGTTATCAAATCGAAGAATTTTGCAAACGCCTAATGAAACAAGTCATAAGCGCGAAGATAAAATATGCTAAATGGTTATCTATCAGAGTGCAAGCTGACACTGAACGATAGTTAGCTTTAGATGATCTATTTTATTTGCGCTCGGCGTTGGCGGGGCAGTAGGGCTCGGCGGGTGCACCGCCAGAGCAGGAAGCAGTGTATTTTCAGCAGCGGCACATGCCACAAAATACCAACACACACACTTTCGGTTACGCTGACTCACTCACACACACACGTAGACTAGTAAGTATGCATGAGTGCACGCGCCTGCCTTTTATTTGGAGTGCATGCATCATGCTCTTTCTCTCTCAGGCACATCTTATACTAGCATAATGTTCTAGCCGCCGCGAACGCGCTGCTGACGTCGACGCCGCAAACACAAAATGTAAATGGATTTCTAATTTTTACGTGTATGTGTGTTCGTGGGTTTCCGGCTCAGTCGCTGCGTCTTTTTTGCATGCGCTTTTCTTTGCACTACATTGGCAAAAAAAATGCAAGAAATTGCACTTTAGTCATCGTCACGAATGATGCACGAAGAGGCACCCGATTATGTTGACGCCACCGCCTCGTGCACTGACAATTCGATATCCTGCAATACATATGCAAGCCCATAGTGCGTGTATATCCGAAGCACGAGCAGGTAGACGGGATATTGCATTGACATCGACACGAGCCACAAATCGTCGCTAATATCAACGCTGTTACCGAGTGCAACAACAACAAAAAAACTCGTATACGTATTCAACGCTAACCGATTACCAAAAGAAAAACAGCTGAGTACGATTGATTAGTAGGCGGAGTGAATGAAACGCATACATACCAATACTTTAGGAAGCGATGTTGTATGAAAATAAAAAGTAAAACAACAAAAATGTAGACCATAGACAGACGGTCAAGGTGGACAAATCTGCAAAATGCAACGCTAAGTAATTGTGTGCGTATATGTATGTGTATATGTATTAACTATATGTTGTTGTGAGAAAATTCATAGGGGAAATGAGTATGAACGCGTTTTGGATGTGTGCGCGCCGACAAACAAACAAGCCGGCACTTCTGCAATGTTATCAGGTAGCAATATTCTTGTTATTTAACAAACAACGCGGAAAGACTGGATATGCTGAGATTATTATATGTATGATTCTTTCACAAGCGAAGAATTCGTACAAAACATATATAAGCTATGTAAGTCGTATGACTGAGACTAACCGGATATTTGAATATCCGGATATCCCTATGGATTATCCTTTGACAGGGATAGTAGGGATATCCAGTTGTAACTCATTTATTCGGATCTATGAACAATATCCACAATTACGGCATCATCGCTATTTTTCAAAATCTAACAATATATTGTTTTCCAATATTTTATTATGTACTTATCAAAGTATAAATACATTATTTAGCATTTGATCAAATATGACCCGGACTGACAAAAAAAAGGCTAGATGGATCATTCCGACTCAAATTTGATCATTTGGTATACTTAAAATTCATTGCAACGTTATTGTCATAGTTTTGGAAGAATCATTAAAGCCGGATATGCAGATGTTAAATCATTTAATGGTATCCTGATATTTGAATATTGGAGTTATCTGGACAGCTGGAAAATTTTAAGAAGTAAACTGGCATAGTCCATCTCTAGATCTCGAGATTTTGTTAATGTTGCAAGATTTATTGAATCTACTAAATGTGGCGGGTTGTGACGGTATATCTTAAAGCATAATAAGATAATTGTTTTTATAAATATTCGAAAACTGTAATGGACGCCTAAATTTATGCAACAATCTTGAGTGGTAATAATAGAAAATATTTAAAATTTAAATATAATAATAATTACAGTTAAGTTAAAACGTTCAATATGATTTCAAACACAACCACTAAACACCCCAATCACCCAAGACATACAAACATTTTTCAAACCAAATGTCATGTAAAGTCCACATTATGGAGAAATTAATTCTTGGATATATTTAAAATATCAACAAAGGTCGATATGATGACATCGAAATTAAAATTTTTTTGACAGTCTGGTTAACACATAGAAAAGGAATTTCTTAACCATGCCCAGTTGACGATTAAAATCAGTATTCTCTTTAATTTTGTGTCTGAGAGATAAATTTTATTAATATTTTATTGACCTAGACATCCTTTTAAAATATATTATTGGAGTACAGTTTTAAACCGAGAGATTCCGAAAATACATAGGATTAACATGTCCTGCTAGAAGGCGACCGTTATTAAAAACAGTATTTTTTTGTAATTGAAGATAAGAACTACATATTTTCATTAACTTTTTCATTAAAGGATGAAACAATTTTTTTCCTTTAGAATCGAAACGTTATATTGCTACGAATGTCAATCTAGCCTTAATAGTGCCTCAATAATAGTGATTGACATTTCGAAAGCAATTTCAGGTTAATCCGATTTTCTGCCTACAAATCGAATGTTGGAAATACAAAATGCCACTCGCACGTCTCATATTATTGGATTAATATCATAGCCTATTAACAAAGCCTCTTCGTACAACATAATATAATACCATATACTCGTACCATTTCGGGTAAATTCTGCACAGTATAACTAGGTATTTATTACTTCACTATTTTACAACAAAGCTCCATTTACTATCGCAGACGCCAATAAAATAGTACTAACAGAGAGGGTCTGAGCTAACCGAAAGGAAAATCATAACTTATATTTGTTGGCTGACATGCACTTTACAACCAATTAGCATGTCTGGGAACCTCCTTAAAGCTTTTTACGGAACTTAGACCATCCATTATATGGCTTGCAAGAATTATTATGGTAAATTGGTCATTCAGGAAAATTTTTGAAATTACCAAACCTATTGCCTCTCAAGTTCAAGGATACCACAACTGTTCGGTTATATAACATGTTGTCCCTCCTGTTTTATTTGAATAGCAACACATTATTTTAAAATACCCACTAACCGAATAGGCCCTTTTCTTTTGAAGGTAGTCTTAAATTCTATCCGAAGTTAAAGTCAGTGATACACTTCATATACTTCATATTGAGGAACCCCTCTTAAAATGCTTGTAAATTATATTCATGTGAATTTCTTTGTAAAATTAACCGCAAATAGGCTTTGTAAAGGTATATGAATATACATACATCAGTCATAGAAGGCAAATATTTATTGAAATTACTTATTTACACAAAGTAAAGTTTATTGTGTGGCGCCTACTTTTCACCACAAAACAGAGTGGAGTGGATAATCTCTCAAAGCGGAAAATGCGCACAAATATAAATGTACATATACTACATGGTATGTATGCTGTTATTTATTGCCGTAGTAATTTCATAGTTGCAGTGACTATCGATACGATGCGATGGTCGGTGTCGTTGTTGCTGTCATCATCGTCAAGGTCGTTCGCGGTTTCTCATTCGAGTTTCAGTTGTCATTATGTATGCGTATGCATGTATGTATATTTGTACTTTCACCAGTGGAAATTTTTACATGTTGGGCTTACATTAAAAGCTTTTCATATAAATGTATGTAATTACAGTATAGATTCGTTACCACGAATTAAAATAGTATTTTCAAAGAGCGCCTTTGTATCCCGAATCATTTGAAATTTGGAACAGAAGATAAAATTAGAAGCTCAACTAATTTTTTTGGGTCCAGTAAATTTTATTATAGAAATTAAATACTTTGAACATCAATCGATTGTTCTTTTAAGGTTTGGTTAAGGTTAATGCCTAATGATGGTTTTTGGCGCAAACGCTGGTCCAAACAGTCACATTTTAGTATAAAATTGACATTTCATGGACCTCGAATGGATGGGCTGTTCCTCAAATTAGATGACTATTTTTAATATAAATCGTGACAACTCGATTAGTTACGATGCACCCTGCACGTATCGAGTTTCTAGAAGTTCAGAGCAATCTGCTAGTTGTAAATCTCTAAAAATGTCATCAATTTACCTGCGTTAGAGAACTTTTATATAATATGTAAGTAATGTGCTGATTTACAGATTAATTAATTGTAAAACAAGGTCTTGACGAAATTGTTATTCTACAAAAAGAAATTGATATTTGTTTTAAAATTTTACAAAATATAGATAAGTTAGTAAGATTTACAAAATGTAGGTAAGTTAGTTTAAAAAACTACTTTGAATTTCTGCCTTTTATTTCTTGATTATTGTATTTGAAATATTATAAATCATTTCCCAAATAATAGTTGGTCGGAGACAAAAACGGCTGTATTCTAGTTACATAGAATAGACTGTTGTAGGAACCTTATGATTCTTCTGTATTCGTACTCGGATTTTTTTAGGCATAGACACCGAGTACATACTGTATATATATACCATACACAACTGGCCTATACTTATGCACATTTAACATATGTATGTATATCTTAAGTGAAGCCAACAAATCTCTTAATGAAGGTAAACTTGTTTGTTGTGTGGATGTGTGAAAACACACATATAATAATGAAAGCAAAATAGAGAGAAAAACTGTAAAATAAATATTAAAAACGCTGATCGAGCGTGAAATATAGCCAAACATTCATTGTGTATATATGTATGTATACATACAGTGGCAAATTTAATTTTGACTTCTGCCATCAAACAATTTTATTCTAAAATAGAACGAAGGCAAACAAATTAAGTGGGTGTGTAGTTAATTTGAAGAAGTAAAATATAAAATTTGAAGTATACATACATATGTATGTGCATAAGTAAATAAATTAATTTAAGGTGTGTAAGCGGTCACAAAATATCAACCAATTTTGAAGAAAGCAAGTGATCATTATTTAGTAAGTAAGAATAACTTGTATATATGGTTTTGGCATTACTATAGTGTTTCCGAATTATCAAAGCGACATATGTATATATGAATGTCAGGTGATACACATTTACATCAAATTAGGGTGTTCGATAATTTTTTAATTTCTCTTTAAAGAGAAACAAAGTTCATGGTTTATTTTATGTAAAATGGTTCCCTGAAATAAACTGCTTTTACGGATAATTATGCTTAATATGAAAGTTAGAAGTAATGATAATAAGGGTGTTTTTTTCGAGGTATACTCGTAGAACTTTAAGTTGGCATTACTGTTCAAGATGGCGACCGATTTAACAGCTGTCAACATAACATAATGGTTTTGTGCGAAATACGTATCGCGCACTACGTTCATTTTATCGTCGAGCGCACTTCTGGTTGAATGGCTACGTCAACAAACAAAACTGCCACATTTGGAGAGAAGCTAATTCTCAAGTGTATGTCGAAACACTGTTACATCCAGAAAAACTGACTGGTGCGCTTTATGGGCTGGTGGAATCAATGGTCCGTACTTCTTCAAAAACGATGATGGCCAGAACGTTACAGTCAATGGTGATCGATATAGAGCCAAGATTACTAACTTTTTCATTCCTGAATTGAACAACCATGATGTTCAGGAGCTGTGGTTCCGACAAGACGGCGCAACATGTCACACAGCTCGTGCCACAATCGATTTATTGAAAGACACGGTTTGGACCTTTGAATTGGCCTCCAAGATCTTGTGATTTAACACCGCTATACTACTATCTGTGGGGTTGTGTAAACTCATTGGTCTATGCGCATAAGCCATAAACGCTTAACCATTTGGAAAACAACATTCGCCGTGTTATTGCGAATGTTGGAAAAAGTCATCGAAAATTAGACGTCCAGATTGGACTACATCCGAGCCAGCCGTGGCGGTCATATGCCAGAAATCATATTTAAAATGTAATGCCACAAGATTATCTTTCGGCTAAATAAAATCCATGTCAATCGAATAAACCATCGTTGTTTTATCGCAATTTAAAGTTCAATAACTCTAAAAAAACACCCGTTATAAACCCAGAAATGATATATGACATTATTAGAAAGACTCTGCTAAGGACAGACATTGTAACATCAGAAAATTCACCCACGTGGCTAAGAAGTCGGAAGTGATTTCAAATTAAGGTCACATAAGCAGGAAAAGCAAATGTTTCAACAATAAGCGGGACAGTCACGTTTTATTTTTGTTATTATTTTCAAATTTATAAATGACATACTTAGTGTGAATTAAAAATAAATCTTCCTTTAATCCTTTAAAAATAACATATTACAATAAAATACATTCTAAAATTTAGCTGTTCTGTTCAATATGTTTATTTTTAAACGCGTTTTTCTCAAAACTACTTTTTCAAGTACGTTTGAGTGATTTACGCAGAGACGAATGATTCGATCACTATAAAATTTTTCTGAATGTTCGGTATATAATTCACTCTAAATTGGCAATTTTATTAAACTGATCAAAAATCGAATTTTGCCAGGATAAAATGACTACAATTTTGGTTAAACTTCAATTGTTTTAAACGATGCCATTTTGCCAATTTTTGATTTTTTTCGAACGTAGATCATTGTCCATACAAGTAGGCGTCATCCTCGGAGAAAGTATACGGTATAGCGTCACACTAGATGAATCCCTTAATTATTAGACTATTATTTAACAAAAAACAAGTGACTTCAAATTAATTTTTTTAATTAATTGGCTGCTATTAAATATGCATTAAGATATTTAATAAATAGAATTGAAAAATCTATTTAAATATTAGACTCGCGAAATTGAAATTGCTAAAAACTACATATTTAAAGTATGCGTTATAATTTGAAAGTTAAATGATGACAACTAACTCATAAAACCAGACAATTATTATAGTGAATTGCTACAACACAATTAATTCGATCGACAGTCAAAATCTCTTCTCAACCCTAATGTAAGATGCAGCCACATGCAACATATAATATTTATAATAGCCAAGTCGAAAGAACATTAACTAGCCAATGTAGAAAAACAAATTTATGTACACACGCATAAATATGCATACATATTTGTTGGTGTGCACCGTAAACTGTAAGTATGGCGGCATTTAAATGCGGGTAACGCTGCAGGTCAACATTGCCGACTATGGTACTACTATATTATATTAGAGACACGTTGTGTTATGTACATATATACATATGTACGAACGACTAAATTCCTTTGCGCGATGGTTTGAGAAGAAAATGCGAAAAGTACTCCATAAGCAAATACTTGTAAACAAACAATATCAAAAGTAGGACTAATGAAATATGGCATTGAACACAAATTAGTTTAGTGTGCATAGGCACAAAGGACAACAGTGAAAATACGAGACATTAAAAATAAAATACAAATACTAAAAAAAATTTAACTAGTGGAGGCGATGGTGGAACGCCTACCAATACTAAAAGTGTATAGAAGTACATACCTAACCCAAAAATATTGATGCATAAGTGGTGTCATCAGCTGTGAAAACTGAAAACTTTTAGCACATCTTTCAGCGAGTGTGTGCACAAAGGATGAGGATTAAAAATTATTTCGTCGAAAAAATTGCGGCTTAATTTCAACGTCGCCAGCGGAGTGCGTTGCGCGGTAAAAACCCAATGTGGACAATTGAAAAGGGAAACTTTTATAATACTTATATTTTGAGTGTATCGAGTATTTATCAGAGCTGTAAAGTTAACATTTTCACGGTGCCCTAATCGCAGATTTACTACGAATCCACCGTCTGAAGCATACCTTTTGCGTTATTTAATCCTAGAAAAATTATTAATTGTATTATTGACAAAGTAAAGGCGCATTATATTTGCACCAAACTGTATTATTTTAAGGTTATAATTAAGAAGTTTGTTAATTTGTCATCCTTTTGCTTCAACAGGTCTATTAACTTGCGAGCATATCAAATCTTTATGCACATAAGGACCAGAAACAAATTCACAGCAGTTAAAGTAGCAAATCAATATTTCTATTGCTAAACCTAACCTTTTTGATTATTCGATTCAGTAACATTTAAAGAGTGGCGAATCGAAGAAAAAACCGGCAAAAAATAAAGAGAGGTATGATATCAAACGGCTTACCACTTTAATAAAGTATCCATTATGTTACATTTAATTCTGTGATAATGTTTTTGCTTTCGGAGACCATTTTTTTAGAAGTGAGCATATCACAAAAACAGTAGGTAGAGCGGAGGTGGATCGGAATCGGCGTTTGTAATTACTTGTTGAAGTAATAATATAATATAACAAAACAATGTACAAAGTTTGAAAGTAAACGTAATGTTTTCACCATATTTGTGCAATTGTTATTTTTGTTTTTCAGAAATAAGAAATTTTAAGCATTTTTAATGGGATATAGGCGTGGTCATAGTCGAAAAAACGACTCGAATGTCGAACTGGACTCGAATACAGAATGTTTCTTGTGGTGACTTACTATTAGGTTATAGCTAAAGATATAAAAACAAGAAAAAACGTTAACTTCCGTTGCGCCGAAGCTATAATACCCTTCACAAAAACAAAGGCCCCTTACAAGAACTTGATTCCGAACGTTCAATTTGTATGGCAGCTATATGATATAGTGATCTGATCTGACCAATTTTTGTGGAGAATAATTTGTTGCCTTAAGCAATAACTCGTGCCTAATTTCGTGAAGATACCTCGTCAAATAAAAAAATGTTCCATGCAAGCACTTTACTCCAATCGTTCAGTTAATATGGCAGCTATATGCTATAGTCATTCGATCTGAATAATTTCTTCGGAGACTAGATTAATGCTTTAAATAATAATACATGCCAAATTTCGTGAAGATACCTCGTCAAATGAAAGAGTTTCCCATACAAACACTTGATTCCGATTGTTCAATTTGCATGGCAGCTATATGCTATAGTGGTCCAATATCAGCCGTTCCGACAAATGAGCAGCTTCTTGGGGAGAAAAAGAAGTGTTCGAAATTTCATTTCGATATCTCAAAAACTGAGGGTCTAGTTCGCGTATATACAGACGGACAGACGGACGGACGGACAGACAGACGGACATGGCTAAATCAACTCAGCTCGTCACGGTGATCATTTATATATATACGTTATTTGGTCTCCGACGTTTCCTTCTGGGTGTTACAAACTTCGTGGCAAAATTAATATACCCTGTTCAGGGTATAAATATATTTTGAATCAAACATAACCTCACTTTATATATTTTTTGTATTTGTAAGCAGAGACATTGAAACCACAAAATTCTTGTTTTTAAATCATAATTTGTATCAATTCAAAAGGTTAGGTTATATTATATAATATACTAGTTATTTAAAAGACATTTAAGAGTACAATATAATAAAAGTTTGGAAAAGTGAGCTTTATATATATATTTGAAGGATTTGAAATCACTCTTCGTTAGAAAAATATGTAACTCCCAACTATGTTACATGAAACTAGATGGACTAGTGTACCAAGGGTTCATCTGAAGTTTTCAAGTGATAGTGCCCATGGTGACGATGGGTTAAATTTGAAGAACTTCAGGATGTATATGATTGGAAATAATAATTTTGTACCTTATTGATTAAAAACGGAGGCGCAGGAGCACCTGTCAACAACCGGCAACAAATCATTAGGTCCATTGTACTGCCCCGTGATAACCAACCATTTAGCAACTCAATGAAATTTGATCTGAGTTTTTCCCAACTACCTGAAAAGTATCTCTTTAATTAGAACATTGGTAGCCGTGGAAGGCTGCAGCCCGGACATTTGCAAAAGTAATATTCCAGCGTTTCGTCATCCTTCACGAATATTCTACATTCTGCCGATTCTACTGTACCAATATATTAGATCTGTACCATTATGGTAAATTTATTCGATAATTTCTAGGTACACTTTCAATTAAAGAACTACCGCTGCGATTAAAATTCCGATTATTGAATAATATCTCAGCAACAGTTATAAATTGCAACAATTGAACAATACAGTTATGTTAAATAAAGACAGGTGGTTAAGTGATCGCCATGCAACAATCCAATAATTTGAGTTGGCTGAATTGTGCGAACAAGCGGCCAGGTGTACATATACCGCACATTCAGTCTATTGCATTGTACGAACAAAAGGATAATTTTAATGCTGCCAGGATATGCAAGAAAAGAAGAGTTGCCAAAAATTTTACTAATAAAATGGCATAAAGGCAAAATGCATATTTGAAAGAAAAAAAGGCGGAACTCAGCCATAATAGGTAGGGTTGTATGACTAATACTGCACTAACGTTGCTTTAAATGCGTTTATGGCAATGCAATAACAAGTGCAGCAGTTTTTGTTGCTTTGAACTTTTTTGGCTCAATTCTGGATAAATTACCTCACAACAGACATTTGGTGGTAGACCTAAGCGACTGTACAAAGCACGAGCTAAATGCAAACACTCGAGACAAAGAAAAAATGTTTAGAGGTCAATATTGCAAATGCGATTTGTATGTGGCAAAAATAACACAATTTCACAACACAACAACAATTAGAGTTACAAATTGGTTTATTTATGTTTCACTTGTTGTATTGTTAAAACAAATTACACTAAAAGCGTCGAGTCACCCATTTTCATTTTATAAATACAATAATAAATAATACACATATATGTATTTAAGAAAGGTAATTGCAAATTATTCATTTACCTGTTGTCAAACACTTTCATTTTTCAGATATTTAATTTTTATTGCTTGCGAAGAGCAATGAAATAAATCTCAACCAGCGATTGTGTGGAGGAAACGGCGTATAATCAATCTTTTTGCTATTGAAACACAAAATATTGTATTTTCCGGACAAAATCTTTCTGCTAGCGAAGCGCACCAAAATAAAACAACGAACGTACTGAAGAATGACTGAATGAAACAAAGAAATTTCGCTCATAGTCGTACTACGCAGTGTTGGGGACGACTGGAGCCTAACCCCAATTCAAGTCAATTGAGTAAATTTACTGTTCGAGCGCCAAACCAAGCAAATCGAACAATAGCCAACAGCGCCAAGAGCGTATTGGACCGCAAGAAAGAGCGCAAGTGCGAGAAGATTGCGAGAGACGCACTGCCATGTGCATATGGAAGTGTATGTGTGTGTATGTACTCACATACGTATGGAACATTAAAAAACGCTGGCGAAAGAAAAGATGCATCGTAAACTCGGTTTTAAAAAAAAATGTATAAATAATAGAAAATATGTGGGTAATATAAACACACAAAAGACTGTGCAAACAATAAGTACCCGTATAATCGTACCCGTGTACTCATATAAACCACTATAAACGTAATGATGATGAAAGAAGCAACGTGAAGCAGAGACATGGGGCGGCGTATGACATATTATTCATTTGCCTAATATGATTTTTCGCAACAAAGATAAAAACTTGCATGCAAATATGTTTTGAAGACAAAGCAAATATGCATATGCATATAGTAAATGCACAGGTATATATTTTAAGTATATGGTAAGTATATTTAATAGACAATAAGTACTTATAAGCAAGTCGCAATTTATAAATTTAGAATATTTAGATTATCTATTCCATTTCTTTGTTGCTAAATTTTTGACGCCATCAACAAAAGTGCAATAACCAGCAGGTTCAACAGCTGTTGGACGACATTGAAAATGCACATACACCCAATTTATATAAATGTATATATGTATGTGTTTATCTGGTTGGGCGTAGCTGCATATGCATATCTGACTACTTTTTATACAAAAAAGGAGGCGTCGTGCAAAACAATCAACAATTATTTATAATAAAAAGTAAAAAAAAGAGTATAAAAGACGCGACTAAGCAAAATGCAAGCACAGAATAAAATTTTGTAATAACTTATCGTATACAAGTAGATAAAAGGCATTTAATTTTATTTAAACAACTCACTGATTATGCGAGACTTTAATTTACATTTGTATGAAATGTATAGCGTTTTCTTTTCTCGATGAAAATGTTGCCTCATTTTATGGTAACATTATATAGATGCTCCATTTCTCTTGTAAAAATTTTTCATTTTTTACATGATATAAAATAAATAATCTGTCAACTAAATCATTCGCAATTTCCATCGTTGAGATTAACACAGTTCACAGATTCATTATAATTAGTCTCATAGCGTTTTCTTTTCTCACAAAAATGTTGCATTTATTCTGTCCTATGCCCGGGCTGTCAAAGATGCGTGTATTTTTCTCAGAATGTTACCTTCTAACCATCTTTCTACCCTTCTGAAAACGTAAGGTTGATGGCCAATTCATATTGAACTTTTGCTTCGCTTTGCGTCAGACATTTGTTTTGACAGAAAAGTTCGAGCTATGTATGCATTTGTATGAGTACGTTGACATAAAAAGTTTTCGACGCGAAGCCAAGCAAAATCGTGGACAACTCTCATCTTTTTAGGATTTGCCATTCAAAAACGAATCAACTCATTTTTGAGATAAAGACATAATATTATCAAGAAAGGATGCTCCCTTAACTTCAATTGTGTGTATCACACGTTGACCGATAGTTTTGGAAAAAAGTCAACCATGCGCACTGGGGTCAACATATTCGGTATGTGGGGGTTTGAACAGTTACGTACCGATTTTGATAAGTTTTAGACTCGAATGGCATACCTCAAAGGCACTGTTTTTGAAAAGTTGTATCCGAATAAATTCATTGGTGATTGATTTGTATACTGAAAAGTGAAAGAGTTATATGGAATTTAAAATTGTGCTATGTGGGAAATAGGCATGATTGTAGTCCGATCGTGCCCATTTTCACAATGTAACATAGCACCGTCAAGATAATGTTATATAACGGTAAATTTGATTGAAATTGATCAAGTAGATCCGGAGTTATGTGATTTCACTAAATTGTGGGCGGTGCCACGCTCATCGTCTAATTTTGACATCGGCTCCCATAAAACTCCCTTGTACCATCCCAGATGTAAAATTTAATGTCTCTGTCGCATTTAGTTATTGACTTATCCTTTTTAGTAGTTTTTAACAAAACCGTTATATGGGGAGTGAGCGGAGTTAGGGTTACCATTCATTTCACCTATTTCCATCCCCTAAATCTAATTTGATTATTTTTAGGTGATAGAAACAATCGTTAGTTGAACAAACTATTATACTATGTAGCAACATATTGCAAGAGTATAACAAGAGAGTGGAAGCATATGAGCAGAGGTGCGACAAAATAGAAACTTACAATAAATGCTTTGCGTGACTTATAGTCTCATTGGGGGTTATCAGTCAAATTTATAGACCTACAAGTTTTAAGCCACCTCCAAACGACAAATGGATTTAAGTGGTTATATCCTCTTGCAAGTCAAAAAACGCCATTTTATTGAATTAATTAATTAAAATAATATACATTTGTAGAAGTTAATGAACTTTAATAATCGGTGATTAATTTGGAAAATGTTGGATCTCCAGGAGGACCTCCGAAAAAAGGTAACTGGCGATGTGGACAATTTTTCTGCTTAAAATTAATTCCAATTCAAAAAGCAAAAAAGTTTATTATTACAATAGATGTGTACAGGCTATGATTGAAGGACTAAAATTACGGTATAGGCAAAAAAAAATCTATTATGAGAAGCTTTTTCACCACAGAAGTGCGATTAGGAAAAACATTTTTTGTTGATCTGAACATAAATCGAACCAAGGTCCTGTGACGTGTGCCAATCGTATTTAACAGTTACAAATATTCAAGATTCCATACTTGTGACTGTTATCCTGCTCACAAAAAGAGTTGTAAGATAAAAATTGAGTGAGGTGCCTTTCACTCTACAAACTTTACGAAAACTAACCTATCGTATTGTTATAAAGTCGCCAACACTCTGGAAAAAGTATGAGTATATTCAAGAAAGAATGGAGAAGAGCAGTGGAAAAAGAAAGCAAGATTGTGTGAGCATGCGTGCGATAAACATGTAATGCAGACTGAGCGTAGACATTGCCAAGTAATCAACTTGGAATTACAATTAGAATGGCACAATGGAATTCCAGTTCTAATAATAAGTAGACAATGGGATAAAAATCATTTCATCTCGTTAAATGCAAATAATAAATACAAAGTAGAATACAAAGTAATGCACACTTATGATAATAAACAAAAAATGTATGTGAATGTGTGTATGAATGGTCACGCTGAATTTGCATTTAACGCGTTGTCGTAAAAATAGACAAACAATGCAAAACAACAAGAAACACTGTAAACACTCACAAATGTTGATAACAAGCCTATTTGTGCATATCGCATTCAAAAACAAAATATTTACGCTGGAAATAACTAATAATACAGCGGGGAGCTGCAAGCATGCATTCCTACAAATTTATTTATTCAGTATGTATATATGTGTGTGCACAAATGTATAAGAGGAAGTGAAGAAAAAAAAAACCGACAGATATCCGTTGCATTGTTGAGCTTGCCTTTTTGCAGTTTGTTGATTCCAGCAACAACAACAACATAGACAACTTAACATTTTAAGATTTGCCACAAAGTGACAGCATGAGTAAGCGTACTCAAAAGGCATATATGTAAATATAATAATATAAGTATGTATGTATGCAGGTTTGTAAGCATAAACATATCGGCATCAAGATTACTTGCATTCCGACGATTTGAGTTTTACTATTTGTTATCAACATTACACAAATAATGGAATAATTGTAAAACGATGCCATTTGCAAGTCACATATTATATAGTGCTTATGTAAACACAGTCATGGTAAAATATTAAGGCAAAGTCTTAAAAGTTGGGTTAGGTTAGGCTGACACACACACAGAAAATCGAAAAAACGAAAGGTCGGATATTCTTTGAGATTATATATCTACTTGACAATTTATAATATTGCTTATATATCTAATGTACATATGTATATTTGAGAATATTTTTCAAAGATTGGAAGTTGACTCGGAAAATAGTTTCGGATATATGAGCGCATTTCTAAATATTTTTTAACTAAGTGTAATCGATTCTCAAAACTGTCAACGCATTTTTCTCAAAACACTGTTCTCAGATCAAAATTTCTCCGAAACGGCTGGACCGATCGGTTTTCAATTTACTCACGACCTACTGAGATATTTGTCAGATAATGATTGAAAAAGTAAGATTTTTGATAATAGTTTCGATTTCTATGCCACTCTGACGTGTACATTTTTTCAAAAAAACGAATTTTTTGTTAGAAAGCCGCTGTTTGTCAAAAATCAAAATCGAAGGACTTGTCGTTCGATCATTACCTGGTCAGACAATATTAAGTAGAAAAATCTTGCTTATTGCTAGACACCTTTTTTCGGAGGTGCTCCTGGATATCAGCTACGAGAACAGGAGAATCAAAAATTTTTAAAAACTAAGTCGCCGATTGTTAAGCACAAGAAATTCTGTAAATGCACTTGCAACATGTTGCTACAGAGTTGAATATTTTTGTTTACCTAACGGTTGTTTGTATCACCTAAAAATAATCGAACTAGGTATAGGGTTATGTATACATACATGTATATATAAATTATCAGGATGACGAGACGAGTGTAATTTAGAGTGACCGTTTGTATGTCCGTCTGTGCAAGCGATATTTAAGATATCTAAATGAAACTTGGTACGCGTATTCCTTGGCAAAAAGTGAGAACGAGTTCGTAGATGGGCGTAATTGGACCATTGTCACGTCCACAAAACGCCGTTAATCGAAACCCTATAAAGTGCCATAACTAAGCAATAAATTAAGATATAAACCTATTATTTAGTACAGGGGAGTCTAGTAGCAAGACGCATCTGTGAACTAATAATTTTGAAAAAATGGGCGTTGCACCTGAACTTAGTCCTTCCTTACTTGTTGATTTATTTATTAATTAAGCCTGCAAACACACCACCTAAAAAATTGTCTAAGGCCTTTATATTCGACACAAGACTGTATATATACACATTCTGGTATATTATTATTTCCCTTATCTCCAAACCTTCCATTACACCAAAAGGCAATGCATGAGTCTACACACACACACACATGCATGAACGTGGTCCAAACGAAATGCCGCCTGTCTAGCCTGCGCATGCATGTGTGTGTGTGTGAGCTTGCTTTTTTGCGCTCCCAAACACTATTATTCCCGCCGCCTGTAGCTACTGCTGCCATAAAGCTTAAATGGCACAGAGGTCATTGTACAATTCGGCGAAAATTTCGGGAGAGCAATGTGCTGAGTTCAGTACAAATGAAAATGAAAGGTTCATTACCTTTTTTCTTGCTCCCAACTACTAAAAGCGCATAGCAAGTGATATTTGGTGACGTCTTGTGAAGCTGCGCGGCGGCGTCGTATGAAAATGTGGAATGTATGGATTTAATTTTTGGCTTCTTTCCTTTTTAGGTTAGGTTTCGCCCGTTTTTTGGGTTCATTTGATATGTGTGTGCTTATTAGCAGTTGCTGTTTACATACAAGTTTTGGATTTGTTTTGTTAACGGCTTTCCACACCATTTGAGTGTAGATTTCATATCTTT